AGTGAAATTTATGCAAATATTTTTATAACATTGACATTCACGATGATACTAATCAGCAATTATCTTTAAAAACTTTTCAATTAACCTTCAAGGGATAGATTTTTGTCCATTTAGTGTGTGAAGCATTATTAGCTCAGAGACAGCGTATATTTAGAGACATCTGTGACTTGGAGCTTGGAGCCAGGCTACAAATAAGCTCAGTTGAAGGAGCATCTATAACCTGGACAGCTGTGTGTTTCCTTTGAGGAACCCGAGATCACTGATCGTCAAGTATTGTTGTTGTTGTGCCCTTCAGTAGACACTTAATTCATTGGCTGTGGATAGCATGTTCTCACATGTTCATTAGTGAGACAGCCACCAGTTGTTACTAGGAGACCCACCTCAAAATAAACACAGGCAATGAAAAAATTTAACTTATGATTATATAAAGATACAACAATGACAAATAATTAATGTGACATCATTACACTTACACAAGTATAATGAGCTCACTTGCATGAAGGCTTTTGAGCTTATGATTGCATCTGTTCTCTGTTTGTTGTCATCTTTTCTTGGGCAAGCAGCATCCTGGGATGAAGTACTACCAACTTTATTGAATGATCCTGACCTACTTTAAAAGTCACAGTCTTCAAATTTGTCAAATTCTTTAAATGAGTTCTCAATGATGATAATATTGAGACAGTAGCATGTGGGGTTGAAGACCTATCAAGTTTATTCAAATGAATGATCTTATGAAGGTCATAGAGGTCAAATTGTTAAAATATTTAAACAACCTTTTCTGAATAACCAAGAGGTAGCTTTCAGCATAGTTTGTTAAAAGTTGACCTAGACCCACGTTCAAGCTCACAGGGATCAAATGTGTTGAAATCTTTAAACAAATTTCTTTCAATAACCAACAGGCCTAGGGCCTTAATATCAGGTTAGTAGCATGCTGGAATGAAGTGCTGACATATTTGTCCGAAGGATTGTACTTGACCCACTTTCAAGGTCACAAAGGTCAAATAATGTTCAATACATTTATCTCAATAATGAAGAGTCCCAGGGTGATGATTTTAGGCCACACTGTAATGCTGGTATGAAGGGCCACCAAGTTTCTTCAAATGAATGACCTCGATCCACTTTCAAGGTCACAAGGGGTCAAATAAGTTTGAGCTCCTTCTTTTCCAGAAATAATATACCCCGAGTCATGGTATTTGTGTAATTGGCATGCTAACCTTGGAGCTGCAGAATAGGTAAGTGATTCTGGCCCATTGGGTATCTTGTTGGGAAAAATTCTAGTGTTGTTGATTTATATACCAAAACAAATGACCTCTTTTAGAATGATGTTTTCCTCAACTGCTGAAAGTAATTAAAAAGACAAACTTTCCAGACACATGATACATTCCTAATGTGTTCTTAACACTAACTGTTAATCATTCTTAGTCATGCTGATGAACTGCTAGTCAAAACAAAGTGACAAATCTTCCATTACTCTAGTGAATACCAATTAAGTAATTGTCCTTCCAGGTTTCCAATCTTGCTGGAAATTTCATTGTCTGCCTATTCAAATTAAGGTTTCAAGATGAAGCTGACTACATATTTTATATATTACAGACAATGTAGCAGAATCAGAGCATAATATTTGCATTTCATAAGAACGGCAATATTGTATACAAAGCCATATGCAAGCTTAATCTACCGACAATATCATCACAAGCAAGACCCATGCCAATTTATCATTGGTTGAAAATCATATAGCAAAAGTATTTTGTTTTTCTAACAGACCTGCGACCAGTACCTGTGAGGGGAGAAGTAGAGAAAAAAAGACATGGGTTTCTTCTCATTTAGCCATAAACTGACTCCATTTCTGTTACCAAAGTAATTCAGTTGATGTTCTGTGGCTGATATTTTGAAAGTTGGATGACTAGTTTGATTTGTTAGCCAATCATATACTTGTATTGGCAACACTTTACATCTTTCATCAGGATGCAGAGATCTGTTTACTTGCCAAGTTATGGTGCCATTTCATCCAGGACATTCATGTTGAAGTGTACTGCATTTTGAAATGTTTGGAAGTCAAGATAGGGGATATAGATGTCTATTTTAGATTTCAAATGTTAAAACTTTGTAAAAGTTTTTTCTCAGAAAGTAAGTGTACAATCGGCTGCAGCAGAGTGTAGTTTGTGAAACAAGACGTGGTTTTAATCAGAATGATATTTAATGTATGAGGATCTTTCTCAAATAATTCCATGTTATTTTAATTTTCGTAAATATATCCATAATAGATAATAAACTCACCAATATATAAATTTATATATCAAAGCCCAAGACAATAATAAACTAATGTTTATTTCATTCTCCTGTAACATTACGGAGTAAGGAGTAAAACCAGGGTATGTTGGTCCCCTCAGCTTACAGGATAAAAACAATATACTGCATGTCTGGACTGATCGGCAATTTCTAATTATTGATATTTTGTTATAAGATTGCGGGTTTCTTTTGAATAAACTATTGATTTATTTTATATTCAAATAACAGATGTAGGTAGAGATATATATTGACTTCTGGGCTGAACTTATGAGTACGGTCGCCAACAGTTGTCTTCCCATCCTCCAGGGCTTACACTCACTATCGCTCAACATGTTATGGCAAAATTGAATGTTTCAGGTACATGTAGTATCATGTGGATAAAACGAAAGAACTAGTTTGATCCTTTGATGTATATAAAATAATCTTGGGGTTGTAGTTTGGTGGTGCTCCATTGTAGTCTACAAAGGGGTGTGTCACTCTGTGTGAAAATGATGGTAACCTTTGGAGTATCGAGGATGTTGCCATCTTGGATTTTGATTATTTGATTGCTATGTCACATAGGAACTGAACCTTTATATATATATGTATTTCCATTCTCATATTACAAAATTATTTGAAAGACAATTACAATTGATTTACTATTGTCATGACTGTGGATGTCAAAAGAGGAAGAGAAAGGATCTAATTCATGTATAAACAATGGGCAAAATATCAAGCATCTATTACAAACATCTCTTTAAGGAACAAACTCAATTTTAAGAATAAACAAATCAAATATTCAGAAAATGAAGTTTATTTCATTGTGTAAAGAGAGAAGATTACAGCTTTAAGTTTTTAAAAAAATACACATTGCTGAAAATGTTATCCAGTAGACATTATAACATTAATTATGCATGTTATAAAAATCTTTTGAAATTTATAAGTACCCCGGTAAATGTGTAAATGACATATTCTAAAATATGATGCTTAAAAGTATTTCACTGAGAGTAACATTCTTCTATTCTTACTTATATCGCCATCTATTTCACTCTATATATTAAGTAAAACTGCATCCTCACTTAACACTTCACAGGACATTGGGTTGTGAAGATGATGCATCTCTTGTCTGTTATAAGATTTTTATTGACAGCCAGCTGTCTAATTCATTCTAGCTTCTCGTCATTGCATCAAAATTTGAGAATTCTGTCGTATTGTTTCAATTCCAGATTTTATCCTTGACTGAAGGAACTTAACCATCTAAAAAAATGAACCTGTACATTTTAGAGACCTGTATGTAAAATACTGAAATTAGATTTACAGAATAAACAAAACAAAACTTTTGTGTACAACATTATCTTCTCACACATTTACATATCTAATCAAATTACAAACCTCAAACACAAAGAGAAAGGAAACTTAATTAATTGCTCAGATAAATAAAGTAAAAAAGGATATAATATACAAGACAAAGTATCATGGTCAGAAATGAATATTTTGGTTTTTGGTATTTTGTTTTTATGCCAATGATAAATGAAAAGTAAGAAAGAGTTACTGGGTATGACATGATTAGTGATTAAACCAGTAAACAAGAAGTTTTCTATTGCAGTTTTACTTGTATTTTGGATCTGTTGAAAACTTCTCTAATTTTCATTGCTTTTCAAATGATTACAAATACAAATCATTGCTAAAGAGTGGGGAGGGAGCCAACGTCAGAAGGTAGTAAGTGGGTTATATAAGTGTGGAACTTAGCCTTGAGTATGGATACCTAAAGGTATGCAGGGCAGTTAAAAACAAATACTCTAATTATAAAGAGAGAAAAATAACCGCAAGATACTCAAGTGTTAAGTAGAAACTTTACTGTCTACCGGTTTGACCCTGTCGCAGGGTCTTCATCAGGACAAAATGGCATGAGACATTCCCCCTAAAGTACACTTCAGGAGGATAACATTCAATTATTGCATCATAAGCGAGAGGGCAGGTAACTGCCTTAAATATTACCAATTATTTTAACCAGTCTTTGTACATAAATTAAAATATTAAATGAACAGTGTCCATGTTTCTTCTTAAGTTACTCCTTTTCATCTAAGTATATGGTGTGTATAGAGCTGGACACATATGCCAGGTCTCTGTGATTCTGTGTCCTTTTTTCTTCTGTATCTGAATCCGAATCTGATGAGTCGCTGAGTTGTAGATCTTGTTTGAGATGATCCACCGCTTCCTCCAATACCGGTCTAAACCTGCTAACTGGGCCTGCAGGGGTTATACCTGTGGCTGGTTTTACTTTGAATTTGGCCAGTTCCAAAAGTTTTCTGGGCATACTTTGTGGTGGTCTATTCCATTTAGCCGGCGGTGTGTGTTCCCTTGTCTTATCCTCTATTATTTCCGGTTCTATTTTGTTAAATGGGTGCGTCTTCCAAAAGTGTTTTTTGAAATTATCTTTTCGGCCGAAAGTAGACTTGCATATTTTTTTCTCTCTTTATAAATACAAATCATGTAGTAAACAAGTTTAATAATCAGTTTTTTTTAACATGTGAAGTAAAAATTAATATCTTTCAAAACCCTTGCAATGAAGAGCTTAATAACTAATCTCGCAAGTTTTATAGATTCTAAAATTAGATCAGTCAACAAAAGATCAATATTAATACAGAACAATACATGTATAGAAAAATATTCATATAAAGCACTGAAAAACTGTCAGGAGATTTATCTCTGGCAGAGTTGTGTCCCTTCATTCAGTTTTGTCCAACAATACGCTGTAGGAGTTTCTTGTAATCACCACTACAGTCATCCTGTATCCATTTCCACAAAGTTTGCTTGGTCTTTTCGAGGAAACACTGCTTTATCTGTACCATGTCAATCTGAAAATATTTATACAGTGCATTAAAACTTTTATTGTTATTTTTGTAAAAATCATGTACATGCATGTATAAACATTAAATTCCAACTGCGTAATGGTTTCTTGAATAGCATTATCATAGGCCTGGATGTGTGTGTGTCTTATCGGATTGCTGTAGATTCTAAATATAGAGGATCTAGTACACAGTTAAGTTTCTGTTAATTCCAATGTATGTGAAAGTAGTTGTTTTGTTTTTAGGCATCCTGTTGAATCTCCAAATATGTTGACTTAAGAAATATTTTAGTTGGACAATCAAAAGCATCTGCTTTTTCATCCTTTGTTTTAAATGTTTAAATGGGTTGATAAGGAGTTACCAGGTAGGTACTGTAAGGTGACCCTGGAAAATACTGGCCAAAACAGACTTATCGTCTAGGGAACACTTTTCTTTAGCTCAACCAACTAATTGTGTAAGCCTTATGAGTCTGAGGTCTCTGGTTTAGATTCCTACTTGTGGCATTGAAATAAATAATGACCTCTGTTACACTGGCACCCACGTTGGGACTGGAACAGCATTGAACAACACCATAACCCCTAGAAACTTGAAAACAAGTTCTTTCCTGGAGGGGGAGTTCAAATGTAACCCTGGCAAATACTAGCCACAATATACTGCTTGGCTAGTGATATTTTCTCTTCAGCTTCATCGGTTGAGCATAAGCCTAATATGTCTGAGGCCCCCACTTTGACCCCTACTGGAAGCATTGCAATAAATAATGGCCTCTGTTACATATTAAGTTACAGGTCAACGAAAAAGCCAAATAAAAGTCAAAATAATCTATCGAAGAATCAAATGGACTTTTAAAAGACCATCTGTAATTCTAGGAAGGAAATCATTGACAGGACATTATAATTACTGCATAAAGGAAGAAACATACAAGAAGGCTTATTGTTATGGTATTTGAATGTTTGACATTTCTTTGGGGACAAATTTTCACCTAAAGAGCTAACTCTGAAAGGACTTGAGAATCGATCTTCTTGTATTTTCTTTACTCTTTTTAATTTCTTTATTTTCCCTGTTCATCTGACTTTAACCATATTCTTTATTCAACAGTACAGTTGATTATCTTGGTGAGAATAAACCTGTCAGTAGTCAAAACTATACATACCTCAGATCTGGACACTATGATACGAATGAGATCATCATCATTGGTTCCCAGGCCTTTCATGCAATCCACTAATCGATCAGCAAAGAACATTGGACGGCAACGAATACTGGCCACTATTTGAAAGAAATACTGGTCACTATACAAGGGAAATACTGGTCATAATACAAGGGAAATACCAGTCACTATACAAGGGAATACTGGTCACTATGTGATAGAATTACAAGTACATTTCATCACTCTCATATTGTCTTTAACAGTTCTTATACAATAAAATGCTGATTTTAGAGTTTCCTTCCCCTTTCTCAGACTTCCACCGACACAACGATAAGTAGTTGATTAACATGATTTATATACAACAAATTTTTACTTAGGAATAAGCACAGAGCATGCATACACATCCCTCTCATGACACCAGCTTAGTCTCTTGGTCTTAGGAGCTCAGAACTTATATCAAGTAATGTTATAAAATAAAAACAAAAGAAATGCAATGTAAACATTTAAGTGCCATTTAAATATGGCAAAATGGACCTGGTTCTGGGACTTTAATAGTGTAATACAAATGATGGAGGTTTACAGTAAACGTGTAAACAATTAACATGGCTATGTTAATAAATAATCAAATATTGATAATTTCATGACAGAAAGATCACAAGGATAATAAACTATAAGTCAATCATATCTTACCTATGGTGTAGAGTGCTTTCTTAAAGTTTCCAGATGTTTCTCGATCAATGGAGTTCAAAATATCGCGTTGAGTAATCTGTGTGTAATCAGAACAAACAATTTTTAGTATTTGATGTTTATACAACACTGGATTGATGAAAAACAATGACAAAGAACACTAATAGTGATTCATAATGCAAGACAGTGGTGAGTGTGTGCTTTTAATGAAACTAGACCTGGAATGACAATAAGTAATCATTTTTTTAAGTTCATAACCTAGAGTGATATAGTGTCTATACCATGAGCTCATAATCCAAAGAAAACAAATGACACCTTTCATTTGGTAAATGAATATATCTACACATTACCAGTCAAAAGTAATAGAAAGATTGATTTCTTTGGGAAAATTTCACTTATTTACAAAAGCAAAAACCAGATAGCTAAGGTATGGAGAGTCTGACTTCAGCAGTGACCTTCTGGAGTCAAACCATGCCAGAACCTGATGTGAGGGGTCCTTCTGGAGTGACAGGGCAGTCATCCTGAGGTACAACCCAGGCAGCTTGGTTAACTAGAGTTGCAACTTGTCCCAGGACCTGATGAAACAGTGCCAGTGCTCTGTCATGTCCTGGGCCCCTGTCAGCTTCCTAAAGCAAAGGAAAGCCTCAGTGGAGATTCTCCTGTTTTCCCATCCCTACAGTGGAGGACAACTAGTAGGGATCTGGTGGCCACAGGGGGCTTGTATGGCTGACGTAAGAACTGTAACCTGTGCTGCAGTGGTCTTCTGATGACAGGTTGGGCACACTGTACTGCACACTCACACTTGGACGTAAGGTTTATTCTTACCTCCCCCACTGCATAGCACTCAAGTAGTATCCAAGACCTGCAGGAATGACAGCAGGTATCACCCCTATCCTACAGAGTGAGGTTGCAGACCGAAGGGTACCCTTAGATGGCTGTTACTCCCCACCTGATCCTTCCACTTCCCCTATCCTTTAGGGAAGGTGTACCTGGCTGCCTTCAGCTTGGCATAGCAAGATCATCTTTCCCTCCCTGGAGGAACCACATCCTTTATATGGAAGGCAGATTCCCCAGTGCCAGGTTGTCCTTCTGCCCCAGCAGGTACTAAATCCTGTACATGAAAGGCAGGTTACCGGGCTAGGGATATCTTATGAGTGTCGGGGGATGTGAAACCAAGAATCCCAGGGCCTCCATTCCTATGAATCGAGGCCACTGAATCCCTGGCTGCACAGAAAGTTTAAGCCAGAAGGGCCTTGGTGAAAGCACTATTGGCTTAGGCTCGGACCCCAGAGTCATGACAAGTAGAACTGGATCCAGTATCTAAAAACATGAGACACACTCAGCAACAAGAATTATACCTTACCTTGACATACTCATCCCAGGTTGCCCGAAGCTGATATGGATCTCGGGTTGCAAAAATTCTGATGAAGGTTTCTTCATCAGTACCCCATTTATCCTCTCCTGCCTTATACAGTTTTTTGGCATCTCTCTTTGCTTGGTCCATATTAGCTAGCTTATTGTAGTCAACCTGGAATAGTCCAGTGCCTTCCCCATCCCGCTCTATCTCTATAATTGCATTCTCCAGCTGCTCATCAATGATCTCACTCCGTCCTCCCTGGAAAGTTTTGGAACCAATTATAATTAAATACTTATTCTGTTATAGACCACACAACTTGCATCATTTGTGTGATTCTATACTATGTCAAAACTGGAGATAAATAAGATATATGATATATGTGTACTTCTAAGATGTTACCAATATCAATGAAGTTACATTGTAGTACATTGTATGGTTGTAGACCTTCCAAACTGTTAAACCAGATGAAAAATGTACAAATGTTTATTGGGGCAATAATTAATAGGTCATGTACTCTATACACTCTGTAGGAAGCATGATGATTTTTTGAAATTTGAAATATACATATGCATAAACACTGTACTCTGTAAGGAAAGACTGAAACAGTCTTGTTAATGAAAGTGGTAAGGAGCTGATGTCAGCTTGTAATCTTTTGAAATGAAAATCATGAAACACTACTATAGAAGACCTAGTATAGTTAGAGCTTATCCTCTGTAATATAGGGTAATTATACCTGGGCTGCTGAGATGAGGAGACGCTTGAAGTCCCCGGATGTATCATCCCTAATGTCGTCTTCAATCTTGTTTTCTGTTACCTTACGATTCGGACTTACAACTGCTCAGAAGAAATTAATCAATAATTTCAAAGATGACAATAAAAACGAACTTTTAAAAGGCATACAGATAAACTTTGGTGTAGGAGGAGTCTGAGTTATCTGGTGTAGGAGTCTGAGTTAACTGGTGTAGGAGGAGTCTAAGTTATCTGGTGTAGGAGGAGTCTAAGTTATCTGGTGTAGGAGGAGTCTGAGTTATCTGGTGTAGGAGTCTGAGTTATCTGGTGTAGGAGTCTAAGTTATCTGATGTAGGAGGAGTCTAAGTTTTATGGTGTAGGAGTCTGAGTTATCTGGTGTAGGAGGAGTCTAAGTTATCTGGTGTAGGAGGAGTCTAAATTAACTGGTGTAGGAGGAGTCTGAGTTATCTGGTGTAGGAGGAGTCTAAGTTATCTGGTGTAGGAGGAGTCTGAGTTATCTGGTGTAGGAGGAGTCTGAGTTATCTGGTGTAGGAGTCTGAGTTATCTGGTGTAGGAGTCTGAGTTATCTGGTGTAGGAGGAGTCTGAGTTATCTGGTGTAGGAGGAGTCTAAATTATCTGGTGTAGGAGTCTGAGTTATCTGGTGTAGGAGGAGTCTAAGTTATCTGGTGTAGGAGGAGTCTGAGTTATCTGGTGTAGGAGGAGTCTGAGTTATCTTATCTGGTGTAGGAGTCTGAGTTATCTGGTGTAGGAGGAGTCTGAGTTATCTGGTGTAGGAGGAGTCTAAATTATCTGGTGTAGGAGTATGAGTTATCTGGTGTAGGAGGAGTCTGAGTTATCTGGTGTAGGAGTCTGAGTTATCTGGTATAGGAGTCTGATTTATCTGGTGTAGGAGGAGTCTGAGTTATCTGGTGTAGGAGGAGTCTAAGTTTTATGGTGTAGGAGGAGTCTGAGTTATCTGGTGTAGGAGGAGTCTAAGTTATCTGGTGTAGGAGGAGTCTGAGTTATCTGGTGTAGGAGTCTGAGTTATCTGGTGTAGGAGTCTGAGTTATCTGGTGTAGGAGGAGTCTAAGTTATCTGGTGTAGGAGGAGTCTGAGTTATCTGGTGTAGGAGGAGTCTGAGTTATCTGGTGTAGGAGTCTGAGTTATCTGGTGTAGGAGGAGTCTAAATTAACTGGTGTAGGAGGAGTCTGAGTTATCTGGTGTAGGAGTCTGAGTTATCTGGTGTAGGAGTCTGAGTTATCTGGTGTAGGAGGAGTCTGAGTTATCTGGTGTAGGAGGAGTCTGAGTTATCTGGTGTAGGAGGAGTCTGAGTTATCTGGTGTAGGAGTCTGAGTTATCTGGTGTAGGAGTCTGAGTTATCTGGTGTAGGAGTCTGAGTTATCTGGTGTAGGAGGAGTCTAAATTAACTGGTGTAGGAGGAGTCTAAGTTATCTGGTGTAGGAGGAGTCTAAGTTATCTGGTGTAGGAGGAGTCTGAGTTATCTGGTGTAGGAGTCTGAGTTATCTGGTGTAGGAGTCTAAGTTATCTGATGTAGGAGGAGTCTAAGTTTTATGGTGTAGGAGTCTGAGTTATCTGGTGTAGGAGTCTGAGTTATCTGGTGTAGGAGGAGTCTAAATTAACTGGTGTAGGAGGAGTCTAAGTTATCTGGTGTAGGAGGAGTCTAAGTTATCTGGTGTAGGAGGAGTCTGAGTTATCTGGTGTAGGAGTCTGAGTTATCTGGTGTAGGAGTCTAAGTTATCTGATGTAGGAGGAGTCTAAGTTTTATGGTGTAGGAGTCTGAGTTATCTGGTGTAGGAGGAGTCTAAGTTATCTGGTGTAGGAGGAGTCTAAATTAACTGGTGTAGGAGGAGTCTGAGTTATCTGGTGTAGGAGGAGTCTAAGTTATCTGGTGTAGGAGTCTGAGTTATCTGGTGTAGGAGTCTGAGTTATCTGGTGTAGGAGGAGTCTGAGTTATCTGGTGTAGGAGGAGTCTATGTTATCTGGTGTATGAGGAGTCTACGTTATCTGGTGTAGGAGTCTGAGTTATCTGGTGTAGGAGTCTAAGTTATCTGATGTAGGAGGAGTCTAAGTTATCTGGTGTAGGAGTCTGAGTTATCTGGTGTAGGAGTCTGAGTTATCTGGTGTAGGAGGAGTCTGAGTTATCTGGTGTAGGAGGAGTCTATGTTATCTGGTGTATGAGGAGTCTACGTTATCTGGTGTAGGAGTCTGAGTTATCTGGTGTAGGAGTCTGAGTTATCTGGTGTAGGAGGAGTCTGAGTTATCTGGTGTAGGAGGAGTCTGAGTTATCTGGTGTAGGAGGAGTCTAAGTTATCTGGTGTAGGAGGAGTCTAAGTTATCTGATATAGGAGGAGTCTAAGTTTTATGGTTTAGGAGTCTGAGTTATCTGGTGTAGGAGTCTAAGTTATCTGATGTAGGAGGAGTCTAAGTTTTATGGTTTAGGAGTCTGAGTTATCTGGTGTAGGAGACCGAGTTATCTGATGTAGGAGTCTAAGTTAACTGTTGTAGGAGGAGTCTAAGTTTTATGGTGTAGGAGGAGTCTAAGTTATCTGATGTAGGAGGAGTCTAAGTTATCTGGTGTAGGAGTCTGAGTTATCTGGTGTAGGAGGAGTCTAAGTTATCTGATGTAGGAGGAGTCTAAGTTATCTGGTGTAGGAGTCTGAGTTATCTGGTGTAGGAGACCGAGTTATCTGATGTAGGAGTCTAAGTTAACTGTTGTAGGAGGAGTCTAAGTTTTATGGTGTTGGAGGAGTCTAAGTTTTATGGTGTAGGAGGAGTCTAAGTTTTATGGTGTAGGAGGAGTCTAAGTTATCTGGTGTAGGAGGAGTCTAAGTTATCTGGTGTAGGAGGAGTCTAAGTTATCTGGTGTAGGAGGAGTCTAAGTTTTATGGTTTAGGAGTCTGAGTTATCTGGTGTAGGAGTCTAAGTTATCTGATGTAGGAGGAGTCTAAGTTTTATGGTTTAGGAGTCTGAGTTATCTGGTGTAGGAGTCTAAGTTATCTGGTGTAGGAGGAGTCTAAGTTATCTGATGTAGGAGGAGTCTAAGTTATCTGGTGTAGGTGGAGTCTGAGTTATCTGGTGTAGGAAGAATTGAAGTTATACAGACAAAGACATGTACTATGTGACCAGAGACGTAAGGTATTCATGTTTTAAAATGGCAAAATATCTGCTTAGCTATAATTCCATTCATAAAATATCAAACAAAACTGCATAATAAAGATATCAAAACAACGATCAATATCTTTGTGTTATATTTCTCACACCATTCAATTATCTGTTTCAAAGCCAAAAGCTTAATTCCAGATGTTTTAAACCCAGGACACTGTTTCAAGTGTAAACTCTTTCATGGATATCAGAGGGGCTTAACCATACATGTAGAAATGTTAAAATATGTGATGATTTTTAACACATTAGTCTTGAACACTGTGATAGTAAATGTCTGCTTTGATGTGCTCCTTGTCTTGTTGTACAGACTTGTATAGCAGACTCCCTACAATACTTCCACTTTAGTTTCCTGTATCCTAATAATGAGGAATCGTTACATTTACTAACCATTTCCATAACATTCCCGCATTTCAAGTATTTGAGCATTAGTCCTAGTCATCAAGATCTCAATTAAGCTGCGTTCATCTGTCCCAGCTCCCTGTGTAATATAACATTGAGGTTTTAAAATGATCCTACTGTGTATTTGATAAACTAATACACTTCTACACATTAATACCTGTACATTTTCAATCTATTTTTTAATTGCGAAAATGGTTGTTCTGTTCTTCTTAAGGATCATAAAAATTTGTCTTTATTACTTGTTCTAGTTTAACAGTTTTACATTCGACAGTGATAATCTATATACACATGATTGATACACACTGTAAATTTTACAAGAAATGAAAATCATATTGCGTAATCAATAAGCAGTAACATTAAAAAAATAAATAAAATGAATGTGCAGTCATTAACTATGAAACACTAATCATAGACAATTATGGTCATTAGATCCAGCTTTTAAACACTCACATTTTGTCCATAAAATTTTCTGTGTTCCAGCAAGTAAATAAATGGTGAAGTACATGATATTAAAACATTTATATAACTCACATATATAGCCTCCTTAATGGACCAAGCATCATATTTAGCTGGAGGAACAAACAAGCCGAGAACAGCTCCACGGAAATTTCCACTGAGCTCACCATTGATATCTTCAATCAAATCCTGTACAGAAAATTGTGAGGTGTCGGGTTATAATCCTTAATATGCTAACAAAGTTAGGGTAGTGTTATGCTGCAATATAAATTGAATAACTAATGTATCAATATCACTTCATAGGTGGTTTAAAATATGTTATGGAATATCATATATAGGCTTACACCTTAAGGAAATATGAAACAAAAAAGAGTGATAAATCCCATTACATGTATTTTATTTCCAGCTACTGTTGCTAATGATTTTCAAGGGGCTCCACTCTATTTTTCAAACTTTTTTCAAAGATGAAATAAAACTGTAAAATACAGATATCTTGAAAATAAGTTGAACAAAGGAATTTAATGTTCATTTCATGACTTCTGTTAAAAGAAAATCCGTTTTAGTTTGAACTTTTGGTAAAACCGCAAAAATTTGAAGAACCAGAAAAACAAACTTGACATTATTACAAATATGTTGGGATTTCTTAAATTAATTTTGTGTTTAGTTACACTTGCTGTTAAGTATTCAAGATGGCACCTCAATGTAATGTAGGAATGGACATCTTTCACTAGAGATTTTGTTTGCTGGGTTAATCTTCTTGTAGCAGCTGGAAGCTACCTCACTGAACAACATACAGGAGGTCATCCAGAGCAATTAGGGTAAAAGAGATCCGAGAGGGATCTTGGGACCCACCATCATTTGATCTTTATTAGTTCTATTAAATTGGGATCTTTTCCCATCTTTCCTCTTCTCTCCTCTGTTTTTGCTTTTAATGATACAAAATTTGAACATTCCTTTGCAGAAATAGTGATAATATTCTTTAACTGCCAAAATGAAGATGGCCACCTGTCAGTAATTTTGTTTTTCTGATCAGTCCCAAAGTCAAATGGGCACAAGAAGGGACCAAGAGGAACCTACATATTAAATTTGAGAGATCCATCAGGTATTTCTCAAGAAACAGCAATAACAAAATTTTAAAGTCAAAATCCAACATGGCTGTTGCCAATCAGTCCCAAAATCAAATGGACACACCTAGGGACCAAGGGAAATCTACATAGATCCATCAAGTACTTCTCAAGATATAGCTATAACAGACTTCATTGTAAAAATCCAAAATGGCCAACTGTCTGTCATATTGTTTCTCCAATCAGTTCCAAAGTCAAATGGTACAACTAAGGACAAAGAAAAACCTACATATGAAATTTGAGAGTGATCCATTCAGTACTTGTTGAAAAATAGCCATGACAAACATTACTAAGCAAAATCCAAGATGGCCAATTGTCAGACCCAAAATTGAGAGGGCACAGCTAGGGATCAATGGAAGTTGAAATATGAGAAAAATTCATTCAGAAATAGTGATAACAAAAATTGATTATGGACGGACAGAGCGACAGACCACTGACAATGGACGATTTGAATAGCCCATCATCTGATGATGGTGGACTAAACATCTATGACTACCACAGATTGGTTTGTTTCACAGCTTCCTGTGAAACACTAACTATCACCTTGGACCTTTGCCTGACATTTTGTTGGCCGATGCTCTGACAGACTGAGCTTTTGCAGCCCCTCAGTGGAGATCAAGCCTTGATGGGGTATTATGCCTGTAATATAATGAACCCTTTCCCCCACCCCAAACCCACATACCCTTCCATAAGCTGTTTTGAATGCTTTCTTGAGCTTTTGTCTCTGTTCATTTGATCTGGTAACGACAACATGGATAATTGCATCCTCATTTGTTCCTGTAATGATAATACAAGGATCTCAATTCTATATTGTTTATTTATTATGTATGGTAAGAAAGGAAAGATAATCACATTCTGCAAGTGTCAACACAAAATTATGAGTTAACTGACAAGAGTGTTTTGTTATGAAATTAATACTATATAGTCTGGATAACTGGTATAGGGAATTTTAAAGTGAAGATACATTTATCAACAAAATTACAGACCTAAACCTTTCATAGCCCATCTGAGGTATCTGGAGTCATGCTCAGCGTTCCACTTTTGCCCTGTGACGTCTTCATCTTCCTCACTGAGGAGGAATGCTACGACTGGGTCTTCCTTTGGGTAAACCTGCAAGGCTGTCACAGTACCAGAGGTCATATCAAAGGTTCCAGATAGCTGTAGGCGTTTCCAGCATTCTGTTTTGTACACATTCTTCAGGTGTGCCTTCACCTCATCAGTCAGTCCCTGTTAAGTTAAACAGACAATATCAGTTGAACCATAAAATATCTATGATGTATGATTGCAATTAGGGTAATGTTAGTGGACATTTAGTGAATCTGGCAATGTATCACAACCTAGTATCAATATATCAACTTAGTATTGTACCTGAAAAATAGTTTTAACAATGCAATACATGTAGCTATGATGTCACACATCCAAAGCATTGGCCGACAAGAAACCCTACTGCAAATCTTAAATGTAACAAACTTACAAGGACCATACAAGCTTTTTTGTCATGTGCTATTTTTATAAAGTAATTCAAAATGATCCAGAAGTTTTTCTCTGTCTCTTTTTAAGTAACAGAGTTTATTATACAGTATATAAAGAGATAAATGAATAAAGAAATGAATAAATAATAAGAGGCCAATGGGCCTAACAGTCATCTGACTATAAAGACCTATAAATGAAAGAGGCCAAATAGGCCTAAAATAAATTGCTCAACTTCTCTACAGCTTACATAGAAGATATTGTTGGTTTATCAAGACATTTTCTGCAAGTTTGAAATCATATTCTCTATACAAACACTACACAATTGCCATTAGTTCAGAAATATTTCTTGTTGAAAAAGCAAGCTACAGGCCCAATATTAAGACCCTTGGCCTTTTGGTTATTGATGAGAAGTTGCTTAAGCATTTCAACACATCTGACCCCTGTGACTGTGAAAGTTGGTTAATTATCAGCACCTTGGTCCTTTCAGGTTTTGCGAAAAAGTCATTTAAACATTTTAACACATTTGATACATGTGACCATGAAAGTGGGTCAATGTCATTCATATTTACAAAGTTGGTAGCCCTACATACTAGCATGCAACTGGCATAATATCATCATTTTTGGCCTTTTGGTTTTGGTCCTTTTAGTTATTGAGTAGAAGTCATTTAAAGATTTAAACATATTTGATCCCTGTGACCTTTCAAGCAGATCAAGGTCATTTCTATCAACTGGAGGTTGATCAACTTTTTGAATTGAAGACATGATTCTCCATTCTCCATGATGTTTCAGAATAAATTTGGTCGAAATCCATTTAAACATTAGGAAAGAGTAGCATTTTGAAGCAAAATCTTGTCTAACTTCCCCTTTTTAGGGCCCACTTCTTAGTCCCTAGTCCCTAGTCACACATTTTTGTGGTTTCTCAACAAATAACATTCCACGGACCCTTGATTTCATGGACAAATGTAGCTCAATAAATCTACTTATACTAATTTAATAGTTCATGGACATATGAATTCAAATGTCATGAAAAAACATCATTAATTGTATAACAAAGAGCAAGATCCCTACACACAAAGAATAATTTCCACTTACCCCTGACGATGTAGACTGCAATTGAAATTAAAGGGAGTAAAATTTAAGGCATGTAGGATTATGTATGAAAATAAAAAGAAACATGCTAAGTTGCCTGGTTTGTTACAACAGGAAATACATTGACATAATAACATCAATATCATGTAGTGTTTAATAGGTGTGCAAGTTACATACAGTGTTTCAAGTCTTCATAGAACAAGTGGAAAATATCAATCAAAAAATCAGTTAACACAGCAATCAAACAAGTGATTCAATTATACCACTTAAATTATTTCATACAACTGATTTACTTAAGTGAATGATTCAAAACAGAGATATAATATAAATAATTCCAATGAAGCTAAACCAATAATGTACATTTGTAAAGAAGCAGAAAATGTGACTCATTATAACCCTGATACTGATTTGTAAATGACAGCAAAGTTACAGGATCACAATAGACTGATATTTACTCTATTGAATTTTTGATGAATAATCCATCCTGCCAGATAGGTACTATACTTTCTGCTGCTTGAAATATTCTAAGTTTCAATAAAGCTGTAAGACAGCAATGTGTGAGAAAAACAACTTATTGTGCATGTGACTTTCAAACAGTTAAAATGGAGACAATTAATAAAAGTAGTCACATGGGTTGGTAGTGTATAAGTTATTCTTATTGCCTATTTACCTGTTCCTCTTCTTCTTCTTCCTCTTCTTCTTCCTCTTCCTCTTGTTGTTGTTGCTGCCTTCTCTGTAAGATAATCAATACTGACATCATATGTGGCTTACAATGTTCAGCAGAATAAGACAAGCATTTGCAAAGGAAAAGTGGGAAAACCTTCCATATCCAACAAAGCATAAATGTGTAAATGGGGATTAATCTTCAGGAGTCAACCTGAAGGCTGAGAGGGTAAGTTTCCTTCTTTGGAATTGCTTGAGTGAAATTGTGCAATTCAAAGCATCAAGGCAATATCAGTCTGACCTCCCAGAGTTACTGCCCTTTGTTTTCATTTTGTCAGTACATTGATGGTTTAGTGATAAGATTAACAGCGGATGGGGGCTGAGAATGGGCAATGTTAACTCAAATGTCAGAAAACTGTTCATGGGAGAAGGGTGGCTCATATGGAGAATAGACCTCTACTTCAACTGAATCTGTTCTCAACCAGGAGTTTACTCTTTGTAAGTTTCATCATAGTATCTAGCAGACATCCTTTTGCTGAGAGGTCAAATATAGTGAATCTAGCAAATCAGGTAATGCGCATTAAATAAAATTGAATATATTTAAGTTTCTATGAAGTTGAAAGCTATGTGTTGTGTTTTTCGATTTGTCTGAAGTGTGAATTATGCACTTTACATACACATGCACTTATGAGAATTGAAGAAAGAACAGATGATTTTATAAAGGTCAACTTAACAAGAAATAGTTTTACCTGTTTTCTCATCATCTTCCTCTGTGCTTTGGCTTGTTGCTGAAACTACATGTACAATATACAGAATATTATTTCAGTGTATGTGAATATCACACTAATTTACAATTATGTTACAGTAGAACACAAAATCATCGCTACACACAACCAAATGATATCCAAAACACAACTACGTTGTACAGTGTTATATTTGTAAAATATCGTGTGTGATCTTGAACTGTAAACATACACTTCAGGACAAATTAATCTATATTTGCAGACCAACATGAAATTGCTTACAACCTTAATGCCAACAATTTGTAGCATATATATAATTTACTGTAAATGTGACCTTGAAAACAGTGCTAGACTGTATGACCTTGAACACTTACCATTTGCTGCATTTGCATCTGTTGCTGTATCATCATGTTGTTGTAGGAATCATAATTGACAGATTGTGGCATCGGTTGTTGCTGTAATAATCAGTAAGTATCTCAATAAATGACAATAATCAAACTTTTAAATGGTAATATTCTCTCCACTGAATAACCAAACTATTCAACAGAATGTAAATAATTTGAAAAAAATTGTGTAAAACAACCTGCTTCTAATTTAGCATTATTTTCAATTTGTCTACATGTGCTATGTTGGAGCAACATTAATTTGGAAAAGGGATACTTTGTCGGACTGGAACATTTGAGTTAAAGATTATGAATACCTGAAATATGAAAACATTTTGGTATAGCATATGATTTTAGAATTTTGATCTCTTCTTCAGTGAAATCTTAATTTACTTTATTGAAGAACAGTGATTAATAAGTCATCTAAATTTTCCTGTTTAAAAAAAAAAAAAAAATGATTCAGCTGAACTTATATTCATAAGACATCATGTAAATGTACCTTGTGTTATAAGTTATTGTTTTTTAGTGTAAGCCTGAGTTTAGATATATAGACAGACCTGGGGCATTGCTCCTTGGTAGGAACACTGTTGGACAGCAGGGACAGTAAAGCCAGCCACAGCGCCACTCTGATATCCTGAAAATACAGGGAGATGTGTCAGTGCTAGAAATTGAGTTGATCTATCATACCTCTACTGTCCAAATCAAAATATTTGTTAAAAACTTTTAATTATTCATCAATCATGTTTATTTCTGTGTATTATCGTATTATGATGGTTCATACTCCCGGGAAAACTCTCGCTACTAAATCAACCAATGAGCAACTTGGATTCTCTTTCATCTACTTAGAGTTCCTACCTAAATTGATATTTGGTAAAAGATTGTGCCCTCTGAGGGGTTTAAATTTATAATGTATGATAACAATCTGCAATTATTTGGCTTTAACACATTTTAATGTATGTGAGGGAGATTTAGACAGGTGTAAAATGTTGTTTTTTTTCCCTGAGTGGGTGGCTAGTTTCATTTTTGAACTTCAGGTTGTTGACTTCTAATGAAGATGAAAGTCGAGATGACGTTTATCCTAATTAACTATGCCATTTGTAGCCTTTGACAGGTATGCTTCTATGAATCAAGACAGTTGTTACTTGAGTTGAACTTAAAATATCAATACTATTAGCTTAAATGCTAAGTAATAACATAACAGTGATTGATTTAGTTGCATAAGTCCAGAACAGTATGCAATAACTGGCTAGATAGGAGGTAAGATATCAAAACATCAGCTGGATGGTACACAAACCAGGAACATTTTGTCTAAAACACTAACTAGATGGTGAGACAACCTGACAGATACTTAATTAGAATATGGGTCCTCATGTATATCTGACTGCAGGATATCTCCATCATGCAGAAGTAATTATGCATGCTCAGGATTTGGCGTAATTAACCTATGACCTTTGGTCAGTTGACCTCTCATTTCTAACATGCTATAAAATGACCTTGACACTTTTCATTTGACTATGAGGTTGATTTCTACAAACCTCAGGCTACATGATAATAAATTGCAAGGTAAAAGATCCAAACTTTGACCAAGACATTTGAATGAAAGATTTCACACTTTCAGCTATGTTCAGGTGAATTCTGCTCATATTTGTAACTCACCCCCTCCATATGCGCCATGTTGTCCCCCAGGGGGAGGAGCTGAGCCTACAGAATATCCCCCACCATATCCACCATATGAATTCACATTATAGGCAGTGCCACCCCCATATCCTCCATAGCCTGGTGGGGGAGGGGGGCCACTATTAGGGGGTGGGTATGCTCCACCACCATAAGCTCCATAACCTCCTCCACCGTAGTTACTCTGAAACCAAGAATGAAACAGAATTGTAAATTGAGAAAACATGGAAAAGTTCCTATGTCTATACTATCTAGCACAAATTATACAAATGTAGGAAGCTTGCTAGGCTAAACCAGGTTTATACCATAGTTTTCAACTTAATTGACATTCTTCATATACCTAAATCTTATTTCCTTTGAAAATTTCTCAGTTCAAATATTTTTTGATTCATCGACTGTTTCAAGTCAAATTAATGTGAGAAGCTTGTCACATGATCTGCAAAGCAATTTTGGGAAAATTATATAGGATCTCATTTCCCAGAAACAACAAGAAAATATGATCAAAGTGTCAAGGACACTTATAGGGGTGTGTATGATGCGTCTTCAAACAAAAAGGCCTAAAGAGGAAGTCATGGTGGTACTGGAAATGAAACTAAAATACAAACTTCCAGGATTTAGAATATTATAGGAAATTAGTTGCCAACACTAACATCTTCCATGGAATAACTGAAAATATTTAAAAATCTTTTCAGTCATTTCATGAAATGAACACCTTAGACTTCAAAAGTACAGACAAAGAGAGATAAATTGAACAGTAGACGATAACAAGTTTCTTCCAAACAGAGGAGAAGTGTAGTATTATGTGCATGAAATGGTTCCAAAATGTCTTATAAAACATGCCATCTTACATTTTCTTTTTAATCTATTGATCTTATATACATATATTCATAAAACAACAACATCAACAACTTCAAGAACTAATTTCAAAACACATTTTACATCCTTTCTGCAAAGACAATCTTTTTGTGGTTAAAATTCTGTCCAGGCTATAAATAACCTATAGCTAGCTTGCAGCTGATCTTTGATCATGAATATAGACACACAGTATTTAAAAATATACCAAACATCTCACCAGAATCACAATATAAACTCTATTTCAATAAAACTAGGGCAAAGAATGAACAACAGAAAGATTGATATAAAGACTCCTGAAAAAGTGCCAGGAGTTCTGGAAGAGTAAGTGTCTTCTGCTTCATTGATGACACCTGCCATTTAAATCTTGGTCAATCCAAGTAAGTAATGTCAAGTTTTCAAATGAGAACATGGGATACAATAACAGAACAGGGAAACTAAAGAGTATCAAACACATTCAACTTCTTATTGCACAAAGAAATATAATGAGATTACTGCGACGACCTTAAAACTTGCCCATAATTTTCACCATCCTAGCTGAGAATTGTACTGATTGATAACTTTGGATCTTCACTTGAGGTTCAAATGTGGTGCTATACTGATGTTGCATCTGCTTCCCATTTAATGCACCTTATGAAAAAGTGTAACAACTCACCCCATAGTATGACATGCTTCAGGTCCCTGTAAAATGAAATAAAACCATAAATATCACACCTCCTATGTACTGTTTAACTTTTTTAATTACTGCAAACCAGTGTTAAGCAATGGTACACACATAATAGAAATTAACAAGTACCATGATTTATCAATTATTATAAACATTTTACTGATCAGCTTTCTTGCATGGTGAAGGTATATTTTCCTTAGGAAGAACTGGTACATGTAAATGGAACTTGCTTGGATAACTAGCAGACTTGGCCTTTGTACAAAGGAAACACAAGTTATTAGAAATAAGGTGTAAACAAAATGTTAAATCAAAACTATAAGAATTCATCTGTTTCATCATTCTCAGATTGAAATATAAAGGGAAATCAAAGAAATTCAAACTGGGATTCGAACCCATATACTCTGAAATGTTATCAATATTCAAACTTTGATTCGAACCCATATACTCTGAAATGTTATCAATATTCAAACTTGGATTCGAACCCATATACTCTGAAATGTTATCAATATTCAAACTTGGATTCGAACCCATATACTCTGAAATGTTATCAATATTCAAACTGGGGTTCGAACCCATATACTCTAAAATGGTATCAATATTAAAGATATCCCGTCAGATGTTGCCTACATTTATCTAGTCCCGCCCACTCATTTTACGTTGATCAAAATTAACCGCTTAGCATTGAAGATCACATATATTGGCTACCTATGTAACGTTAGCTTTTAAGTATATAATAGTACATGGCACTGACTGCATAAGGTGTAATAGATTGTAATCATAGAACCCATAGAAAATGAGTTGTGATTTGAAAACAATTTAGGACAATTACTTTCTTAATGGGATACTGTAAACATATGCAGGTAAATGATACAGAGGCTTACCTGTGATAACGAAAAGATAAACAAGAACGATACTACGAACCAAAGATTCAGTCCTTAGTGACTGGTAAACAGTTTGTCTGATGTTGATCTAGGTGAGAGCGACGCTACGCTCGGCGGAAGTTTACCTGGCGTCGTCTGCTAGATCTGTGTATAAGTTGGTTCTAATGTATTTTTTCCGTTTCGATAAACTTTCGTTATTCGTAATTAACTGAAAACTGATTTTCGTTCTAATTTTTTGAAGTTGGGAGACATATATACGTCGTAAGAATATTATTTATTGTAAATTCGTTTACAGATATGGACACAGAGGCTTATTCCCAGCCTGCGTCCATCATATATCCTAATAAATTCCTAATAAATATACATAGTGTAGGTCTTGGATTCGATGTCTTTATTTCGGCATGAAGAACTACGTATGATACACTGCTTATACATATGGATCTATTAAATTTCCTTTTAGTAAATACGTATGTATGCATATAGATCCAAAATTTTCGTGGCCACTGAAGAAACTCCAGGCCTTCGGAGGGAACTTTCCTCGCCATTGCTGGACAAATGTAATCAATGATTTTCATGATATCATGCGTGAAGTGAAGATGTTTGGTGTTTCTTTTGTATATATTTTTTGTATTGAAAATATATGAAGAGAAAAACAGGAATGTTGAAAAATAATATTTGAAAGGTTTCGCTGGAAATACCGACTACATGATAGTATACTGGTTTGTAAGACTTGTAATTATTGATTGTGGATTTCAGAAACTTGTTCAGTTATGTATTATTGTTTTCTAGAACATTTATCAAAATCTATCGAGTGAGAAAAGCCGGTGCCCAGGAAAAGCATTTAAGCAACAAGGGATTTTTTTTTTCATATTTATCATTAAGACTTTTTTTTTTTTTTTTTAAATAAAATCGGTAATCTTGAATAAAACACAAGTTTATAGTTTCAAAACAATGTCTGTACGAGAAAATGAAAGAAGTTTGTATCTTGCTTGATATCCATAGTCATGTTAAAGTAAAGTAAATGTTTAAGTAAAATGCATTGTACGTGACTTTAGACAACGTTTGGTCTTGTAATAAAATTAATTTTGATTGGGTACTGAGTGGTTACACAATTTAGTGTCGCTTTCCCTCGGCTGACGGATCATGATCGTATCCAGTTTTGCATTGCAATTGATTGTGGAGTGCTAACCAAACGGACTACTATAACACAATTCAGAGAAAAAAATCACGGAAGCTGGGAAAATCATTTCGCAATTCACCTGCATTCATTTGCATGTATTACGCAACTAACGTGTTTTGGTTGTTGGCAGCAACAAATACATTGACTTGGGACATGTACAACTGTTTCCCTTTTTGTTTAGTACCCTTCCACAAATTCAGTTAAATAATGAACTTTGGGTCACAATAAGGCCTGACATTTCTTGGCATATGAAACACAGACACGAATGGCGGTCACATTTCTTTCTTTTAATCCTACGAGCCATGTTATTATGAAAGTACCGAGTCAATTTACACATTTATTGTCAACCTATAGGGAAAAATCCATGTATCGTGATTGGTTCTGATGGTATAATATACGTGGCCCGTCTTGTTTATGCTAGTCATCGCCCGTTTCTTTGTTTTCTAATCCACATTACGGCCATTGTGACTTACCTGTACTATATTTGACCAAAACAGCTTAACCTGCGATCTCGTGCAAACCTCCAGGTAACAACGTCTTGGAGACATGTAAACAACTAGCAAGCATATGCTGATCACATGGATGTTTGTATCGAAAGACGATTTGGCGTTATTTAAAGCTTCTCATTGAGACAAACAGGTGGGTCTCTAGGTAAGTTAATGAGGCAAGAGTAATTGATGTCACCTCTTAGCCGTCTAACGATATGGTTTACTATATGATATTGATAATTGTATAACGGTCTTTGAGTGCTTGATGGAAACAACTTCGAGTGTGTTGGGGGTCTTATGATATTGTAATCAGCAGCTGCGACTGTTGCTATGTACATAACACGCTCATTTGAAAGATCTTTTCCTTTCTTGAATGGGTTCAGTGTAAGTCGGAATGTAACATTTCAGGAGTTCACGGAATTTTTGCTTGATCCATAACAATCGGAAAATTAGATCTAGATGGAAAAAATGTTACATGTACCGGCAAAGTTTCCTGGGCTCGCACAAAAATGATTTTTCTCTTTTTATACTGTACATGCAGATATTTATTTTTTAACCGAGAGTTTCAAACTCGAATAATAAAACGAATCACGTGTAAATTAAAATGCTTTATTAGCCCAACATCATCTGATGGTAGGCTATTAAAATTTCCTTAGGTCCGTCCTGCCATCCGTCCATCAGTGAACAATATTTGTTGTCGCTATTTCTTGAAAAGTACTGGGCGCATCTTTCTCAAATTCCATATGTAAGTTTCCCTTGGCCCCTAGTTGTGTGCGTTATATTTTCGGACTGATCAGAAAAAATAAAATAGCCGACAAGAGACTGTTTTTGATTTTGACTTTGAAAACTTGTTATTTTTGTTTCATTAGAACTCAACTTCCATGTGCAGGTTCATCTTGGACCCTAGTTGTGTCGATTTGATTTTGGGACTGATAAGAAAAACAAAATGGCCAACAGGTGTTCATCTTTTCTTTCGCCAAGTAAAGTTTGTTATTGCCATTTCTTGAGAATTACTCAGTGGATCTCTCTCAAATTTCATGTGTTGACTCCCCTTGGTTACTAGTAGTACCCATTTGATTTTTGGACTGATAAAAAAACAAAATGGCTGACAGGCAGCATTTTTGAAAGTTTGTTATTAATTGCTCTTTCTTGTTAACAACTGCATAGATCTTTCTCACACCTCATGTTTAGGTTCCCCTTGATCCTTTGTTTTGTCTGTTTGAATTTTGGATTGATCAGAAAAATAAAATGGTGTCCAGGTGACCATCTTGGATTTGGCAGTTAAAGATGATTTTTGCTATTTCTGCAAAAGAATACTGGTAGTGTTCAAATTTCTTATCATTAACAGCAAAAACAGAGAAGAGAAGAGGAAAGAAGGGAAAAGATACAAATTACAAAAAACAAATAAAGTTCAAACAATAGTGGGCACCAAGATCCCTCTGGGATCTCTTGTCATTTAGGGTTAAGGATTTGCAAATAAGGTATTCTTCAAATGAGTATACGATAATATTAAAGGTCAATGAGGTCATGCTTGAAAAAGAGCTACATTATTGTCCGACATACGGGTGATAATATTGGTAGTAGTAGTATCCGTAATGGTTGGATCTCCGGAGTTGGATACAGCTGGCGATTTTTTCAATAATTTTTAAATGTTTGTGTAACAGTTTGAGTTATAAATATTAGATGAAGTTTTATATTAATGTATTCATATGATTTGTGATTAACAGGTGACACTTCAGAAAGTACAAAATGGCTTACGTAAGTAGAAAAAAAAATAAATATGAAAATCTTTATCAAATGTCAAAGCAAATGAAATTAAGATTCTTGTTTTATAATTAAATAGAACAATCAGACATATAAACAGCTAAAATCTTTTCAGAAATAAGATTTCATTTTGTGTGTCTTTATTTGCAGTATGGCAACCCGTACCAAAGCAATTACTATGGCGGAGGCTTTAGCTATCCTAATCAGGCCTACCAAGTCAATCCAGGTATATATGGAGTCAAAATATCAAAGTAAATTGTGTTATATTGATCCAAGTAATATCAGCTTGTCTTGACCCATAGCCCATATTTGACTACACTATTATAGTTATTAAAACAGCCCTCAAAATATTCAGTATTCAGAATAATCCATATTTAAAAAAATTCACAAGACTGTTCTGAAGTAATCAAAAAATGTCAGTTTGCCTATTTGCTTGCCTTAGTCTGAAATGCCTGAAGTCTACATGGATTGGTGATACACATGTTTTCATGTGCAATAGAAGATTAGCTGTTCATACCAGTATGAAAGCCACTGATTAGGGGTTCATTTGATGAATTAATCACGACAAGTTATGTTTTCAATTAAACACAATGATCATTCTTGAAAATAAGTTCTACAATGATATTTTAACATTTGCCATTGTTTTAGATATTTTTGAGTTGCCTTGAATCATACAACTTGAAGTTGATATGTGGATTATTTAATGTAAATAAAATGACAATTATAATTGATAACTCTGTATTTAGTGTGGAGTTATGTCCCTTTGAATTTAAAGCCATGTTGATACGAACTTACATTCATTATGGTATGGAAATAAATACTTTACTTACAAACTTATGGCTTGTGCAGATCGTCATAAATGACAGAATTTCTTAAGTTTTCTGTGACGTTTTAAAAGAGTTGAAGTCTGTACTGGTTTTCTTCCCCACATCAATATACAAAGATGTGTGTCATTAATTAAACAGATGTGTGTCTTTCCATTTCATTTCATATCACTTCACTCAGCTTATGTTTTGATCAGAGCTATAGATACAGTAGGATTTTAAATCATTACAATATCATTATGTTTACATTACAGGACATCCAGGGTATCCTCCACCCCAACAGATGATGATGAACCCATTTGCTGGTGTAAGTATTATATTGCTAACATCAAAAACAATCATCCTAGTTATGACCTATTTCTTTAATCCTGACCTTGACATCTGTATGCATATTGCCCCAAACTGTCATTCTTTATATGTCTGGTGATGACCTTGACCTTTATACATACAATATTTACCTGTAAATACCACACCTGATGATTTCTGATCTATGTAAGATTTCTTTTACCTACTACACACAGATGCTGTATTCCATAAGAAAGGTGGCAATTGTTATAAATATTTTCTGTTATAAGCCCAGGTGGCAAACATATAGACTCCATACAGGGCATGGACATATCAAAGACAATGATATTGTAGCTTTACAGCCATACATGGGCTTATCACCAGGCATGGTTTTATTGTTAGCTAGATATCTTATGCCTTCTAGATGCCGTGCCCTATGCAGCAGATGCCTCCTACCATGCAAACAAGCATCACCATTAACACAACCTGGAGCACAGACAGCTGCTTTCTTGACCTAGCACAGGAGGTACGTAGAGTTTATTGTAGAGTATAAAACCTTGATTAGCAATTTGCCTGAAAATTCCTTTTTATTCAAAATTTCAGTCGAGTAAGTTTAAACAAGTAATTGACGGCAGTTAATGCTATTTCTATAGGCTGGACTACTTGATGACGAGGAGGAAGAAGATGAGGACGAATATGAGGAAGATGATGAAGAGGAGGAAGAAGTCAAGAAATCACGCAAGAAGATCCGCAGGAAGGCTAAAAAGAAGGCTGTAAGTCCAATAGAAGAAATCATTATCCCCTCCCAACAAATGTCAGAAAGGGGAATGGGGATATAGAGAAATTCCTTATACATAATGTAACATGAATCCTTGTCAGTGGCCTCATTCTCTCAAGGATTTGATCAAACTTCACACACCTATAATAGATCATTATATCTCAAAGGATTCTCAATATTAGGGATATGGGATCAAGGTTAAGGTCACTTATTTTTAGAAATTCTTTTTAGCACTTTAACAGCTTCATTGTTTGAGGGATTTCATTCAAACTTCACATGCTTGCCCTTTTGACCATACTTATTTTTGAATTTCAAGGGGATTTGTAATGCCCTGACTTTAGGATTTTACAGTATAGCTGTCTTATCCCACACTAAAATAGAAATCCTGGTATCTCCGGTGTCATATCATATTTGTATCCCCTATCAGAAAAGGATCCTGATCACTTTTCACTTATCAGAAAAGGACCTGGGGATCGCTTTTCCTCAATAAGAAAAGGATCCCCCCTATAGTATTTTGATCCCCCTTGTGAATTTTATTTTAAACTTTATAGCTTTATAAATAAAATAAGATATGATAGGTAACTGTGTCTGGAACTTGGTCACTGATACCTGGGCTACCTGTACAGGTCTGGTTACATAACACCTGTTTAATCTATCATTCATAACAGTGCTTATTTGGGCTATTTCTGCTGTAAAAAAAAAAAATGTTAATTACCTTGTGAAAATGTCTTAAAAGGATGCATATTTCATTTTATACATAACATTACCGTTGAAGGTTACTGGAAATCATAATATTATGGCACACGTCTGATCCATCAATCGAAACAAGAGAAGATAGCTACAAATACTAAAAAAATAAATTATTTGTCTGGGTATCAACAAAGATTAAGAGGTTAGAGCAAAATAGTGTTGGAAAGTTCATTTATATTGAGTAGTTAGGTCACAGAAATGATGTTAATAACAAAATTATATATTCTGAAGATACAGTTTCATTTAGATTATAATTGGTTACAGAAAGTAGCAGAGAAAATTGCTGGTTTAAGTGATGAGGACCGAGCAGCCCTGAAGTCTCGGTACGTAGCCAGATTGAAGGAACACTTAGATAAATACAACAGTTTGGAACCCACTTCTGGCACTGTCAAGCCTTACACCATGTATACAGATGATGATCCTGTTGTTCCATTCATGGACACCTTTGATGGTACACCTGCTGCTGGAGAAAAATGGAACTCGGAATACGACTGTATATACCTTGATGCAGCTATGGATGGTTTAGGTACTCTCTAGTTTCAAGAACATTAATTGATTTCCAAACTTCTCCAAGTTCCTGACTGTTCAATCGATAGTTAATTAGCCCTATTTTTGCCATTGCTTTATAATTACATGGCATAACATGATATGTCATACATGAATAAAGGAATTAACTCTGATTATATAAAACAGCCAGTTATCTAAAGTAGGATTTATTTTACTTACTCAGGTACAAATGAGGATGCAATCATCCATGTTGTCACAACCAGATGTAACTCACAGAGACAGGAACTGAAGAAAAAGTTCAAGACTGCTTATGGTTCGGTGAGAATTACTGAATTGCATTTGTATACATATAAGTACCACTGTGTACATAGCAATGAAAAGATGATGACCTGGATCAGTCTCAGAAACAAGTGCAGATCCTGATCCGTTGGCTTTAATGACTTTGTTGCCTTTGTTTTATTATATAGTGCTTCACTTCAGAAGAATACATCACTGGCACCTGGAAGCATTAAAGATATATCATCACTGCCATTCAATGAAATCTGAATACAGAGAACAGGGGAAGTTATTGTAGTCAAGGACAAGAAGTGTTTATGAAACACTATGCTCCCATTGCAATGAAACTCTGAAGTAGGACATACTGTACTGTACTGTGTAAGGCATGTGACAATTGATGAAACATTTTTGTCTTCATTCTGGTAATTATTTAACAGTTTTAATTTAATTGTTATGGCCAAATTTTAAATTTTTTTCAAATACAGGTCAAAGGTCACGGTCAAGGTCACAAGGACAAAAGATTTTGATATCATCGGAAATGTCTTGTCACATAGAACACAATGCCAAATATGAAAGCCTTAACTGTTACGGTGCACTGCAATGATGTCAGCCCCACAGAATTTTCCATGAAAATAAACTCTTGTAAACCCTATAGCTATGTAAAGATCATAACCCCAACTTTGGAATTTTATGTTCTCAAAATAAAACCTGTGCACATTACATGGGTTTTTTCAGTAGTTGTGGGCAATGTTAAAGTTGACAGCAGACAAACAAACAAACAGCACAAAAACAACATGCCCACGATCTTTTGATCCAGGGGCATAAAAATCATTAATTTCTTCATGTTCTGTGTTTAAACATTTAATACATTGCTGTAGCTCCATGAAATGATTATTTGGACTGATGCAGCCATCATACTGTAGAGAGTTATAGTAAATTTAAATAAGTTATATTCAGCTTTTCACTAAACTGCATTGTTTTCATAATACATACAGGACCTGATTGAACGCCTGAAGTCAGAACTCAGTGGTGACTTGAAGGAATGCATTATGGCTCTGTTTGTGAGTCCTGATGTCTATGATGCTTGGTGTGTGAGGAATTCTATATATGTAAGTATCTGGATATATAAAATTCAATCCTAGATGTGAAATATATGATGTCCCATAATCACTATTTAAGGTCAGGATGACTGAGAGTAATAGTGCTCTGTCTGTCATCGTCAGCAGTGCATAAACTTTCCATTCAAATGACTTCTTCTTGATAACCAAAAGGCTGGTTGGTATGTTCCTATGATGAAGCTTGACAAAGTTTGCGAAAAGAAATTACCTTGACTTATATTCAAGGTCATAGGGATCTGATTTGTTAAAACATTTAAGTGTCTTCTTCTCGTGACCTTCATGGCCTTGATGCATGATATTTGGTTGCTTTATTTCTAGGATGAATCCTGACAAAGTTAGCAAAATGAAATGACCTTGAACCTTTAAATGACTTCTTTCATGAGCTAAAAGTCCTAGATGCATGATATTTGGCTGGTATATATATACCAGGTTAGCGCTGCGGGCAAATTGGACCTCTTATGATGATTAAGCATTGAACTGTCTTGTGGCATTTTTGATCATTATAAATGACACTTTTCAATGTAATCACACCATATTGGGAACTATAAAGGCCTTAACAAAATATTTTAACATCTATATATATTATCACAATCAATTTTGACTGTCTAATACTGATTATTGATTTAACTGAAATGGAATATTCATTATTGACAGTGAAATAGTCATTTTATCAACAATACACTAAGGTCATAATGTTCACACCTTGGATGGTATCTATTGTATCAGAAATCAGATATCTTTCTGTTTAGTTAATATAGAGGCATTTTCATGCAAATGTATAAATTGTATTTTACCTGCTTTATTTTGTGTGTAATTAACTTTCACAATTTTTTTGAAAGTTAATCACCATGATTATAGGTATAGCATAATGTACCAGTGTAGTATCCCAAAAATGTAAAAATGTTTGAAAAAAATGTTGGTTCACAGTAAGTGTCTTGTTACAGGGCTTAGGAACAGATGACTCCGTGTTATGTGAGATTATGTTTTCCCGCACCAATCCTCAGATTCAGGCCATGGTGGAAGCATACAAAGATGGTAAGCTAGCTCGGCTATTTCATGTGTAAAATACTGTAAAGGTGGAAATTGCGCGAGGGGAAAATTTATGCTAATTACATGAATGTCAAAAATTTTCCCTGCGTATAAATTTCCACATTTACAGTATACCATATTTACACTAAAATTAAACACATTATCCTGAACAAATTCACTGGATAACAGGCTTATTATGTGATAGATAATATTCAAATGTGTTCATTAATAATAATCACATATATATCGGACGATAAAACAACTTACTGATTTTTTTTTTTTAATTTCCACTAATTATGCAAAAGTCATTAGATTGTGAGAATAAGAAAGTAAGACATGCATACAATGTAGTTAAGTATGGGAGAAAATGAAAGCTAGAAAGATATCTTACTGGTTTGGTATCAAATCTCACTGTTTTTTTTCTGGAGAAAGTTATTTGGCCATAAGTTAGATATTTACAGATGCAGTTTCTTTTCAGTAGGGCAAAGATTAAATGATAAGATTATGTTAATTTTTTCCATGCGTTTGATTTCCCACAAGCATTGTAAAACTTAAAATCAGACTATCCGCAAAATTTTATCATTTATTGAAAAAAAATTGATGAAGATCATCAGTTTCAAAATAACACTGGTTGCCATTCGTTGTTTTGATCTAAGATAGCCGAGTTCATCACGTGACCTTGATTTCTAAATTTTCCTGCATCTCGCATGAGCAAAGACAATCATACGAATTAGTGTTGGGTCACTCCTATTTCATTTAAATATTTTGACGTTTTTGATTAAATGGTTATGCAAGCTTTTAAATAATATATTTAACAGAAAGTGCACAAATGTTAACAGATGTTTAAATGTTGTAATGCTTATTGTCAGCCATGAAATGAAAATCTAACCATTCAGTCCCTTAAAGATTTTGACAGAATGTGGTGAGCGATATGCCAAAAAAAAAAAAAAAATGTACATTACTTTGAGTTTTTTTTTTTAGGTTTCTGAGTCTTTACTTCACATATTAAGATAAAGATAGAATTTTGCCAGAACTTTCAAATACTTCAAATTAACCAGGTTATTCAAAGTCTTGAGTTTGAATTAACAAAGTGCAACTCTATCACTGAACACTGAAATAAATTTTAGGAAAGTTATTGTTATTCTACGCATTGACTCTTTCTGTAACATTTCAATTTTTTCCAAGTTTGTTATTTGGAAAAACAATTGATAGTAATAGATGTGTATGATTATTCCTACAGTTGCTTTTCCTGAACTAAAAGCCCCAGAGTGCGCCATGGAGGAAGACATTGAAAACGACACATCAGGAGACTACAAACGACTGTTGATATCGGCATGCCAGGTATAACGCTTGTTTCTACATCATTTTAAAATTTTGTCGTTGACACATTACATGAATAACTTTGCCAGTGAGTTGGTACCAGTGAGTGATATGATAGACAAAGCTGTGTATTATACTTTGTTCATACAAGATATCCTAACTCAGAGTTTAAACTACATGTATTGAAATTTAAGAACACTAAAACTGAAGGGAAAAGCAAGTGCTCCAGAATGGTAGAGTAATTAACTTTTCCTTTACATATATTTTGCAGTTTGCTTTGATAAGTTCACTACCCATTTTAACCACTTACAAATGATAAGTTTTTATGTAAATCAGTAAAACTTACAACATACCATATATATACTGTATGCCGATTCATGCTTTTGCTGTGGTGGAAAATATAAAAATGGCCTAAAACATATTTTTTGGTAAATCTGATTGTTTAATTTTTGATTGCCTATAGGGTAATCGTGACACTATTGACTTTGAGAGGTTAAATGAGGCTGTTGAAGAGGTCAAGAATGACATGGACATGCCTACGGGGATGTTTGCTGTTAACCATGACAAGTTGGTCGATGTCGCCAAGGCACAGCGTGATGCACAGAAATTGTTTGAAGCAGGACAGGATAGATGGGGCACAGATGAAGAGACTTTCAATCGGATCTTTTCCACTCGTGATCCCTACCAGCTTAAGAGGACATATGCTGAATATGTAAAGGTCAGCATACATATACAAACTACACCCAACAAAAGGTGTCATTGTAAAAACTTCCATGCACCAAACGCTGAAGTTATTTTTACTGCAGTTTTGTATATATATGTATATACATTGAAAAACCCGTTGACTCTCTGATGGCGTTTGTACTTTCTTATCTAAGAGACTATTTTCATTATCTACAATAAATTTTTTCTTACTTATTAAAGAAAAGTATCAATATAATCTAAACTCGATTTGCTTCTTTATAGCTAATTGTTTAAGGAAGGAAGGTTAACAAATTGCCAATTAAGATGTCCTAAACTTATGTAAGCACACTATAAAAGCTCCTGCACTTACAATATTTGAGAAACTGAATGTGTTTTATTTGAGCTGAAAATAAGCCTTGAATGTGAAGAGATGATGTCTCAACATTGAATGCCATAAGAAGGAACCAAGCTTTGGTATCTATGTTTAAGATGACTGTAAATCAGAAATCAGTGGGGTCATCCTCAATGTTACAAAATGTTTTACAGTTATCCCAGTGTGATATTGAGAATGCGGTGGATGACGAAACCTCTGGAGATTTTAAGATGGCTTTGTACACCTTAGGTAAGCACTTACAAACCCCAGCTAGTGCTACTAGAGGGTATTATATGTAGATGGGTTTGTGAGCTGTCCATTAGTCTATCTGTGCCAGTAACTTTTATCTGGAGCATATCTCCAGTGCTAAATTGCATTTAAAATCTATATACAGTCGAGACCCGATAATCCGTGCTCCGTTGGTCCGGAAATCTCGCAGTCCGGACGAGAATCAACGGGAACTGATTTCCGTAACATTATTTTGAGATACTAATTCGGAAATCCGGATTCGCAATCCGGGCACGATTTCCAGGAACCAAACCCAGAAATATGGTCTTTTTTGAGTCAATAATCCGGACGGAGAAAATACAAAAGAAATTTTTTTTTTCATAAAAAAAATAGACTGCTAATTCATCTTACCTAACTGAGGGCATTGTCCGTCACACATCATTGTATATCGATTGTATCAAGCTGACCTCTGTTTAATGTCATCATAAATTTTAAAATTATAATTTAGGTCAAGTGACATATTGCGATCACTTTTTGTTTAGCGCTTTTGTCATGTGTCGAGTGTCATAAACAACTTACATTTTCGGCTTCTTCTCAATAACCATAATGCCCAGGGTACTGATATTGGGCCTGTAGCTTGCTAGGATAAAAGGCCAACAAACTTGTGAAAATAAATGACTTTGACAAATTTTCAAGGTCACAGGGGTCAAATGTTGATATTAGATATTTAGCATGATGAGATGAAGAGCTACCAGCTTTGTTAAAATGAATGACATTGAGCCACTATCAGAGTCACAGATGTAAAAAAGTTTTTCAATGTTTAAATGCCTTCTTCTCAATAAACAAAAAGCACAGAATGCTGATATTGAGCCTGTAGTATCCTGGGATGAAGTACTACCAAGTTTGTCTATATTATTGACTGTAACCCAGTGTGCTGTTATTTGGTCTGTAGCATGCTTGGATAAAGGTGTACCAAGTTTGTTAAAATGAAAGACATTAGTTCACTTTCAAGTGACTTCTTCTCAATAAACAAAAGGCACAGGATTCTGATATTGAGTCAGTAGCATCCGAAATGATGTGTTACCAAGTGTGATTATATTATTGGCCTTGACCATTTTTTAAGGTCACATGTGTCAAATATGTCAAAATCTTTAAACAGCTTCTTCTAAATAACCAAAAGGGTTAGGGTGGTTATGTTGGGTGTGTGACATGCTGGGATGAAGGGTTATCAATTTTGTTCATGTGATTGACCTTTTCTATTTTTAAAGGTTACAGCGGTCAGATGTGTTAAAATCTTCAAATGATTTCTTCGCAATATTAAAAATTGTCAAAGCTGTTGAAATTGGTTCTTTAACATAAGTTGATGAAGGACTTTGACCTATATTCAAGATCTCTTCAGTCTGATTTCCTTTTCAAGAAAAATAGGTCCCAAGTAATGACATTTGTGTATATTAAGAATATGAGTTTGCAAAGACTGTTTTTATGAACCAAAAATGTCTTCTTTGTAAGCTGTAGTGTAGGCCTATTTGGCCTCTTGCATATATAGGTCTTTTAGTCAGATGGCAGTTAAGGCCTGTGGGCTACTTTGTTGTAGATAATTTGTTTATTTTCTTTCAGAAATAATTAAACTTGATTAGAATTATCAGTATAAGTTGACAGTTTGATGACATGTACATATTGACCTCAGCTGACCCCCAGGGGCTGATGGACGGGGCCAAAAATGGGTCAAATTGACTGATATTTCAAAGATGTTCTTCTTTTCATGGATGGAAGATTTTATATTGAAAAATTATATTTCTGAGTTTAGTTTCTTTTAATTCAAACTGGGTTAGAAGGTTTGACAGGGGACAGCAGATAATGTTATGCACAGTTTAAATTTGCATTATGTGTACAATGTAGATAAAGTTATCTTACTTTTTTTAACAAAATTATTTCTATGACATGTTACAAGAAGTACTTTTACTCAAGTGACTGTTAAGACCCAGGGACCTCTTGTTTTGTTTTTTGATAATTCTTGTTTTCCTACCTATTCTTACGTTCATCTTTCCAGTGATGTGTATCAAGTTTCCCCCTCGATACTTCGCCAAGAGGTTGACTTTGATGATGAAAGGATTGGGTACTGCTGACTCAGACCTCATCAGGATCATTGTTTCCCGCTCGGAGGTATGCTTGTCTGATCATTATCATCAAATTATTGACAACATCATGCTCTTTTTCTGTCTGTAATGTCTTTATATATCAGACATAGTTGCTAATGGTATCTTAATTCAGTTCAGCAAATTGGAACATCTTCAAGAATATTGTCTTTGGTGGTATGAAATATGAACAAAAATATATGCATTATTTATTTCAAAACAATTTTGATATAAATTCTATCTACTTGATGTGTTGCCAGGTTTCATTGCAATATCTGTGGAAAACTGTTTTAATTACAGTCTAGTTATTTCCCTTAGAAAAGTATCCATTTTCTGTTTTGATTTGAAGGATCATCATTGATTCCTGAAATTTCTTTTCTTCTTTCTTGTTAATGAGCTTAATTCTTATAAAATACACAAAAGATTTGAATGTTAATTATGGTGTATACCGTGATATGATTTTACATAAAGTACATCAGGCCCCAGTTGCTCAAAGCTTGTTTAGATGTCACCAGTGGTAAGTTAAAATGTTAAAATACGAATTTAACAAAATTGGAAACATTCTTTACCATTTTCACTTGCAACAATTTCAATTTTTTTGCTTACCACTGACTAGTGCCATTAGAGGTGATGACTGTTTCAACTTGCCTGTTATACTCCAAATATTTCAGGGAGTTATGAGATATTTACACAAGCTTTTAAAGTTTAAATGTCATTGACTGTAACGATGGCCTTGAATTTCTTTGTTTACAGATTGATATGGAACAAATTAAGGCTTCATTCCTTGAAGAGAATAAACAAACCCTTTGGAAGTGGATCGAGGGAGACTGTAGTGGGGACTACAAGAAACTTCTTCAAGGAATTGTAGGAAAAGACTAGTTGGCAAATCAGCATCTCGGGTCACCAATCAGTAGAAAGAATCCTTATGACCGAGGAAAGTGATGGGATCTTTATTGACCTTTCAGTGACAAATATGATTGTTTGTCCCTTGTAGTGGAATTGATAATTTTTTACTGAAAATGCAGAAATATCAATGCATATTTTAGGTGTTTGGACATAAAAAGAATGAATTTATTGATGGGTGTGTTGTAGCAAATATTCCCAATTAGATTTGAATTGCTTTAGCTTAGTTTTTGAAATAAACAGTTTTTGTCCATTATAAAACAGCAATACATGTTTTGATACATTACGTTTAATGCCAAAAGTTAAGCGCAAATTGATGGATTGGTCTATTTCATACCCTTGATTTATCATTTATGTATGAATATCATTTCTCCCCTGTTTTTACCTGTTAGAAGTGTTAAGTGTTCTGTGAATGGTAGGAGACTTTTGATCAATATAGCTAAAGTCTTGTCTTTGTCACTGCAATTGTATTTTCTTGAGAAATATTGATATGGTATTAAAAACCAGATATAACAGGGGTTGAGAGATATTACCTGGTATTATTATACACACCATGCAAAAGTATTGTATAGGTCCTGATCAGACAGGAACTGATTTAGACAGGTTATTCCAGAGTCTGGAAAATCAGGCATTACATTGTATGTTAATTAGGTAAACACATACGTACAAGCTTTTTAGTGAATATTTTTTTCAATTTAACATATTTCATTTGTCAGACCAAGTCAGATCATGTACCAGGAATTTGTAACGAAATTGACTAAATGAGTAGAGAAAACACGGAGTGTTGATGAAATATTGGTAATAATTTATTTTGATATAAAGTGTTTTATGCATTTAGTGCATTGTTGTGTTACCTAGTCTTGTACAGGAAGTCTTGGTGAGAATGTTTGGAATTTAATTTGTGATGTCATTATACACGTTACGGTCCCTCCATGGACAATGTTGGATACATAGTACAGGTATTTAAATGATCTTACATCAGTATTATTATAGACATTTTTTTGTCATATGAAAGTCCTTCTACATGTTTTTGTGATATATATCCTTTATTCTTTACCTACGTTTTTTGTATCTTAAATGATATGAAATGATTTTATTTACATGATTTTACACAAATTATTATTTTTCTACCGTAAATAAACAATATAAAACCATGTTTACTATATTTATATCATGTGACTTAAAATAGCTTTAATTTCAATAAATCTAAAATTTTGGAAAATTATACATTTATTTTGAAATTTATTAATTACTGTACATTTGTATTTCTTATCTGTGATAGTGCTGTAGATCTGTTTGTTTATCTCAAAGTGCATAATATATACTGTATACAGGGGATGCAACAGTGATAGTGTTTGTTCAAATATTGAAGTTTTGTCTCCCATTGTAATATTTATAAAAACACTTCATAGATATGTAGGACTTTTACAACTACTCTTTACCAAGACATTCATATTATGTACTGACACATTTCAATAAATTTTCCTTTCAAAACTGTTGTGTTTTTTTATTTCATTTTGCATTACATCATTCAGCGCAGATAGGGCATGATAGGTAAACTCTGATTAGGATCTGAGGTGTGTAGTGAAATGCTCCTTATCCGTCGCTGTTTGTATTTCTCAGGAAGCTGAGAAATGAACTGGTCTCTGCTGTCATGGTTGTGTTCTTGAACACCACATTTCCCCTAGTTTCTCTGGATGTTATGTGCCTGGTTCCCCTATGTTGTTCTGTGAGGCAGCCACCAGCTACTACAAGGCCTCGAAATGACCCTGACTGTTCACAGGGCAATGAACCAAACACACAGGGTAACAAACTCGACACAGTCGTAGTACAGCCAGCAATAAGATAAGAGTAGATGGAAAAAAATTGTCTAAAAAGCTTTTGTAAAAATCTTAGGAAAGGAATGTTCATGTTCAAATCTTGACTTCACTAACTTTTATTGAAATTGAACTGCCCGATATTGAACTTATGGCATGACAATCCAAAGATACAAATATGTGACAAAGAATACCCTGAAATCTTGACAATAACCCACAGCGTATATCATTATTCAGTAATGACTTTATGGCATGAAAATAAGTTGTTTCAAAGACCAATTTGCATTCTAGATGTTTTGAGCTGCAGACTGAGTGTGGCGAATATGCATTAGTTATGTTTGAGAATTTTTCACAAATATAGAATTTCCTGTCGTTGCCTGAACAAGTTATATTTTCCACACAAAGATGTATTGTTGATAGTATAATTAACAAAACCATAATCTGATTTCACAACAAATTGCAAAACACACACGTCTATTGCCAAATTGGTCACCAGATAAATGGCAAATTGCAATTTTAACTTAAATTTCGGTTGTGACCTACATAACATTGAGATTGCCCTACTAATTATTAAGATACTTTTCCTGCAAGACATCCATGATTTTTTTTTCAAGAGACTTCATGACTGTCTGCAGTCTGTTGCATTTAAACCTAATGGCAATATTTAGTAATGAATTTGATGTAACACAATCTCTCATTGTTTGGTCAGAACAACATCTTGGATTGTATTTGTCGGATGTCACTTGTTACACCATAATCAAACTTAATATGAAGCATCTTCACGAGTCAATGGTGTTTGAAACACTACCCTTTTTATAAGAGATCGTCAAAGGTGTTTGAAATGATACCCTTCTTTAAAGAGATCATCAAAGGTGTTTGAAATGATACCTTTCTTTAAAGAGATCGTCAAAGGTGTTTGAAATGAGACCCTTCTTTTAAGTGATCGTCAAAGGTGTTTGAAACGCTACCTTTCTTTTTAGAGATCATCAAAGGTGTTTGATACGCTACCTTCCTTTTTAGAGATCATCAAAGGTGTTTGACACGCTACCTTTCTTTAAAGAGATCATAAGAGATTATAATCCCAGGAAGTCTGAGGATATCAAGTATATGGAGATACACTATACAGAGACCTACAGCATCATAAGACATGAAAGAGTTACCACTGATCATAATCATAAAGCCATGGTCCCTCATTTTCAGAAGTCGTTGAGTAAATAGGTCAAGGAGTAAGTAAGTCAGCAAGTAAAAAATGTCAAGGTGTAAAAAAGAAAATGGAGAAGTTTTTGAAAATTTTTAACATGGCTTTCAAATATTGATTTCAAATTTCCTAAAGTTAGTTGAAAATGATAAATGGTTTGGTGGTTTCAGAATATTTGTTTAAGTTATGCATTTATGATTTACCCAGTTCACTTACTAAATGCAGATGATCAAAATCGGAACCATGACATAAACGTCTTTGTGACCATAGTACTGTACACTTTCATGACTGTGGTGAAACTTAGTTCCCGCTACAGTATATAAATTTGATTCCTATCAAGGAATGAACATTTATACTAGTTCAATGTATATTTTACTGTTCAAACACTTGCTAAATCATAGTAAAATCTTCTATCATTGTGTTGATGACAGAAAACTTCAGCTATCACATAATACAAAACAGCTAAACTGATTCTCTTGATAAAATGTTTAATTCATAACAATTAATTGTCATACACATGTAGAATTATCACATAAACCACAACAGCTTGGTTCAGGAAAACTTTCAGCTGATACATATTTAATTTCTACAAGCAATGAGTAGTGAGGACAAGCTTTTTATATTATATCACTCATCACAATCATAGGTTTCTGCTTATACTGCCACATTGGTAGCAAGACAGTGTCTTCATACACTGACCTATCAAATTGTCATTAAGATAGACGGCATCTGCTGTAGTGGAAATATCAGTTACAAATATATTTTCAGTTATATAATCCTAAATTAAGTTTTTATTCTTTAAAGGTCTTTCCCTTCATTGGTAATACAGAGGTTTGCATTACATGTTATAATACAGACCCTTTGTTAGCTTTGGGTCTGGCAGTAAATCACAGTGGCTGGGACAAGGTGGACATACTTAGATTTAATGGTATCACATACTAAAAGGGTTCATAAAATAACAAGAAAGCTTGTAAGATGTGAAAACAACATTAAAACTTTGATCTTTCCAAAACAGAGAAAAAAAAATTGCATATAATCTAATGATTTTTAACATTGAGACTGATTGCTTTATTCATATTTTCTTTGTCAATTTTTGGAATGTAATAACATGGATTCTTCCCCTTATTTCAGTTCTAGTTATGAATTCTACTGAAGTTTAAACTCAAGGGTACATATACAGTAATCATGTAAAGTCTGAATTGAAGAGACACATTACCTACATGTATTTGAAGACTTGACATGTGCTAAAAACATGAGATATATTTTTGATTCATTGTTTATATCATATACATTAACTTTCAAGAAAACTGCCATAAATCAATTAGAATTCTCGAATACTTCATTTAATGCAGACAAATTCGCGAATACATGATTCTGTGGACCCTAGTCTAGAAATGACTATGAATTCATCATTGATGAGAGTGAGAGTGATCAGAGACATGGACTTCAAAAAACTTCCCATATAAGCAACTGATAGCTTTATATAGGTCGCCATTTTGTCTATGACAGTCATGCAACTATACCTGAAAAGTGATTCAGTCATGAGATACTGTAAATGGTATCTACGAGTACAGACTACTCTGTAGAAACGAATGCTCCACATGCTTTACGGCTTGGAGAGTTTTAGGAGTTGTTTTCAAAGTAAGATGAAAAGTACTTCAATAGGACAGACATATTGTGTAGCGTTTCATATTACCAGCATATTTATACTTATCATACAATTTTCCTATTTATATTGTAATTCAATAACATACTTCTTTTTCATGTTTTAAACTCTATGTTTAAAAGATAAGTTTGTGATAATATGAATTGGAATATATAAACTCACAGAAGTGTCTGTAAAAGCGAGTTGTGATAACAGCGGAATAACAAGGATGTCATGAAGAGTTTTGAACAAGCAATCATGAGGGATTGAGTTTGTCATTGGTTCTCCTCAAAAATTAATGTGAAAATAAATCCCACATGAAATGCAAGTGATTTACAGGTAAATAACAAACTTAATATTGTTAAAATTAACAAATATACTTAACATACATGTACACAGGTATCTTTTACTGTTGGAAAGAATTATTTGAAGATATTTTTTCCTCACCAACTAATTTACATTTAACACACAGTAACTATTGTACAAATTTTTGTCTAGTAGTTTTATTAATTACATTTCAAGTATGAAAGTTTTATCCTAATATAATCAAACTGAATTAATATTTTTTAACTTTGGCAAACAACATATCAACTTTACAGAAAACCTACCAGTCTGCAAGCAGCATTACAAATTATGCTTCTGGACGGATAAACATTATGTAAAACATATTTCCCGATTTTTTTTCAAGTATGTTTGCTCTTGAAACAATGAGTAAACTCCAAGTTAGACAAATAAGTGTTTATTTAATATCCTTTTTCAAACCCAGATTAACGACTTCAATCTGACAAAACATAAAGACAACACAAACATAAATCACTGGCATTTCTATAAAACGTGCATACTGTCAGATAAATATATTTACAAAATTGATAAATTCTATAATTGGAAATTAAGCATTAAAACACAAGAGTGGATGTTCTATCAAAAATGAGATTACATTTATTGGTATAAGAGATGCCGAAAAAAGGCACAAACTCAGTTCAGAAAGTTCCATACACATTTTAAATGACTTCAACATTTTATCACAAACATAATTTTGATATGAAATATGATAACATTCTTCAGATAAAGAATTTGTTGTACCTTAGATATTTCCATCAATACTCAGGTGACACCACACTTACTTAAGTAGATTCTTGAAACTGATTTTGAGGCAGTTCCTGAGAGTTTGAGTAAAAAACCTTTCAAAATTTATGTCTTCAAAAAAGTCAATCTTTATTACTTTTCAGACTCGCTGGCTCTGAGATGATGGATAAAAAAATCTTCCCATTCAGTTTAATTAGCTTTACCATCAACAACCAATAACTCTTGTCACTACCTCCTCTGTAAATAAAATCTGAGATGATATATGACTTGCTGATGGAGTTAAATGCAAGTTTCTCATGGCTGCCTCAGTAACACCTGACCGCATCTACTATGACGCCTCATCTCCAAATCGACAAAATTATAAGTAAATAACTTCCAACATGATTTTCCCATTATAAAGCATGCAGAGATAATGATGTCACTTGGAAATTTCCATGATGAAGTGCATATGAAATGGCATGGAAAACATAAGTAAAATGAATATCACAGAAATACCAAGGGAGACAACTCTTAAGATCCTGATTAACAGTAACAAGACAAATGACCACTAATGAATACACATGCTGTAATTACATCATCATACAGGTTTCCACTTTTTGTTCTCCAGTTTGTAACAGTGAGGTTTTCCATCTTTAAACACTGTCTTGAGAGGCTCCGGATGCTCCTTAATCTGTAGTAGTGCTGCACGTACATGGTCTTCAAAGTAAGGAGGTTCCTGTTCAGGTGATGTTGACAGGTGCTACAAATATTACATCAGTATCAGTTAATAATTTTGAAATGTTGTTACAAAGCTTGTAATATGGAAAAAAAGAAAAAAAACAAAAACAAAAAAAAGCCTATGGTATGTGTCCAGTAATTGGTTTTTTAAGAATTCATATTTTAGATATCTATTCTTTTTCCCCTTAAATTCAGCATATTATTGCTCTATCAACAATAAAGTGTGATGAAATAATTCTTCCAAAGAATATGCTATCAAATTATAAAAAATTGATACAACTTATCATTTTTATGAAATCAATATTTAAAAAAAAAAGTTGGTTATCTCCCCTACGTCAATATACTTTTACCAGTTTTGCTTGTGATAATTTGTTTGTTATCTGGTATGAGGTGAAGTAGAGCAGTTTTGATAATTCAATGTTTATGTACCAACAATGTTTCATTAAGTACCTCTCTGATAAAGCTTTTTGGAAGTCCACATAGAAGGTCAATTTCATCCATAGTTGAATAGTTAAAGGGACCAATGGTGAGCGTGTTACTTTTCGGGTCATAAATATTGAGAACCTGGAAACCATCAATAGATAAGATATTCAGATTGCATACAATGATATCCCAGATAACATTTTAAAATCAAAATCTAACATCTGCCTACATCAAAAGTGTAACACACTAACTTAAAGTTTTCTTTCATCCATGGAAACAAGATTTTTCGGGTGTCACACAAAAGCCCTCACCAAGCAGAAATATGCAACTTTTTTTTATGTTATTGGTATTGAATTTCCTTAATTGTGTCAGATAGTGGATGACCAAGTCTGGTAATCAAAGTTGGGCCAAATTTCAATTATCATTAATTATCAAACTTCAATTCAATTTTCACATCCAGAACTGAATAAAAGAGTAAATATTGGTAACTTCCTGAAATTTTCTCATGTAAAGACTCTTAAAAAAATACATTGATGGGTACCAAGTGAAAATTAACAACATAAGTTATGAAAGAAACATAAAAAGTTGCATAATTTAGTGTCTGTATATTCTTTTTTTACCTGTTTTTTAAATTTTTTTTTTCAGGTAGATTTTTCTAGGGTCAATATATCCGAACTTTTCTCTGCAAACAACTCTCTTGACAACATTTTACAAATGAAAATCTGAAGTAAATATCTAGCTATCTTACGTCTTCAGATCCTGTAAAGTGTCGAGCACTTCTCAGTGGCTGGTCAGGACCATGGTCAGCAAAGCTCGCTTTAGATATCTCCCCAGTTTTAATATCTATAGCTGTAAACAATTATACAGTCAATTATCAAAAGATACATAACCCATCATAAGAATTCAGAATGAAGGATCTGACAAGTGTTGGAAAGATAAGACTGCTAAATAAATTTATTGTAACAATTAGTTATTTGACAATTCATTACAAATCTACCACAAGTTTTCCCTCAAAAGGAAGAAATACAGAATATTCAGCAAAAAATCGAAGGCATTTTTTGAACTAATGCATGTACTTATATCCTTTTAGTGAAAGTATTTGATCAAACAAGAGATCCAGTGAGATCTTGGAGCCCACCATTGTTTGATCTTTATTTATTCTTTAAAAGTTGGGTACTTTCCTTTTTTCACTCCTCCTTCTGCTCTTAATTATTTAAAATTTTTAAATTCCTCTAAGATGGTCACCAACAGGCAATTTTGTTTTTCTGATCAGTCCAAAAATCAAAATTGTAGAAATAGGGAGTAAGGAAAACCTAGGTATGAATTTGAAAAAAATTCAACAAGTATTTGTCAAGAATTAGCATGAACAAATTTCCACAGTCAAAATACAAGATGGCCACCATTCTGCCAATTTGCTTTTCTGATCAGTCCTATAATCAAATGTACACAAGTAGAGACCAAAGGGAACCTACATATGAAAGATCCATTCAATACTTCTCAAGAAATAGCAATAATAATCTTTCATATGGAATTAGAGAAAGATCCATCCAGTTACAGCTCAAGAATAACAATAACAAACTTTCATTGTCAAAATCCAAGATCGCCAACAGTTCATTTTTTTGATCAGTCCAAATATCAAAAGAGCAATTAGGGACCAACAGGAACCTTTGTATGAAGTTTGATAAAGATCCATGCAGTACCTCTTCAGAAGTAGCATAAGCAAGAATAGTTTAAGGAACGATGACAGACGAATGATGGACCAAGGACATGCCGATTTCTGAGGATAGTGGGCTAAAAATATTTATAAAACATGTTTATCAGTGTTATCAATAATATGTAGAAAAAAATCATGAAGATTTGAGCAACAATGGTGTAGAGGTTGTCAAGCTTGAGGTGTTAGATTTTCCCTATATTTGAGGATGGAATGAAATTGCAAAAGACACAGACTTAGAAAATAAAACTTAAAAGGGAAACCCTTACATTCTTTCTGCTTGACCTTTTGGTCAAGATGCAAAATGTTTGAACTATCAAATAAAGAAACATTTGCAATATTCCAAAGTAAAACAAAAGTAAAGAATATGCTGTAGTTACTTACCAATGCCATAGATATTGGGAAAAGGCAAATTTTTCTTCCGGATATTATTCATGTCTACAAGGAACAAGAATGATAAATATGAATACTCCTTCAATTTTAGTACATTGTATTTTCTAAAGACTAAAACTTTCATTGAAGTATTAATTTTTTAAAGTTTAAACATTGGACTACATAATGAAAGAAGCAATAACACTATGATATGTTACAATGTAGGTTTGGTAGAAGTGAGGGTCGGGCAAAGGGAAGGATAGCTGACAAAAGCAAACAAAAGGCCTTAAGACATGAAGTGTTGAACTGAGTAATGAAGCAATAGGTGAGAAAAGCTCTTGAAATAATACATCATATGAGTGAGAGAGCAGCAGGGATTCAGTCCATGTTGCACTATTGTGTGATTAGGCTTATCTCTTGCCAGCAATCTCAAATGGTTACACTGTACAACAGCAGATTTGGTGTGTTTAGGGATAAAAAGGTATGTGAATAGATCCAGGTGTCAATCACGGCAGTATGTGTGCAGATCTACAGGCTTATACATGTTCAGCATTACATCACATAACAACACATAAACCAATTCCTAAAGCTGAGTTATACGTTTATAGCAGACATTTCACAATCCTAGATATAAATACCTGTGATACAGCAGGTTTCCAAAAAGATGTCATCCTCAATGTCATGGAATGCCTCTGTAACAGAAAGAATATATCAGGATAGTTCTCATAGACAATCCCATACACTGGTGTTCAAGTCAATTATTTGTAACAAGGTCACTGAAGGTTAGCATTACTAGATCTTCATCTATACATGCTTCATGCCAAATATTACTTCACTGTTACTAAAAAGTATTAAGACATTTGACCCCTGTGACTCTGAAAGTGGATCAGGGTCATTCATTTGAACAAACATGCTTGCCTCTCATCCAGCATACTACACACCCAATATCAGTACACTGGTCCTCTTGGTTATTGAAAAGAAGATGTTTGTGAGCTAATAATTAACAATCCCCTAATTACACCAGTGTTATCTGCATCATGAGGGAGTGTAATAACAAGATATTAGTTTATATGATGATAGCTCAGTGCAGCTCACCGAGTGTTTTTATGGACAGCTCAGCTGAAACACCTCTCTCATCACAGAAACCTCCGATCAAATGGAGCTCCAGTCTGCAATATATGCAAAATAATCATCGTCACTATAATGTCATATTGTAGTAAATATTGAAGTGTTTATATACTAGGCTTTTCCCACTCATATGGGAATGGGCCTTTTTATCTCATTTTGGGAAAAAATGATTAATTAGGAAGGATATTTTAAGAATAAATTTTCTCTTTGAGGAATTTGGAAATATTATGAAATAAATTCAATGAGCCTTGCACTTGTAGGTTCTAGATATAAACCTAGTTTGAAACCTCATGAGAGTTTGTCCGTGTATTACTGCACGCTTACTTCAAATATCAACCAATGTTTTATTTGAATTATAACAAATACATTTATCATATTTCATCTTGTTAATTTGTACAAACATCTACCAAAAGTTTGTGACACATGCCAGTATCTGTGGTCACACTTTGATATTTGAATGTATTACAAATAATATCACATAACATTAGTATTTAAACACACTGCTGAACAGTCTGAAATATCTGCTATCAGAATATTACATATTATATCGAATTATATCTTCAGGATTTGCTACCTGGTTTTACCTTTTTATGTTATTGAGGCACTTAAAAAAATTAATAACACGATAATTAATCCCAAGATATAGAGACTTGTTACCATAGTTGTCATTACTTACTGTCATACCATTATACACTCTGGGAGAGATTGAAATAGTAGTTTACCTTCCACTGCTGTCTGGGAACTCTTTCACAAGCCTCAACATTTCCTTGGCTGCCTTCTGTACACCTGAGCCATCAAAATGAGCAAGGCATACAGCTCCAGACCCTGCAATAACCATGAAATTTTTACCAGATTGATATAATTTCTCTTACTCAATACATTCCTTGGTCAAAGAACTTATATTGCCTATATGAAATTGAATTTCATTTGCATAATTTATAGAGCATTTTCTTTTTATTGTACAAGTGCATGTACAGTGCCTATGGCACAGACCTTTAGACATTAGTACCTGTTGCATTATCAGGGTGGCTGGCATGGGGAGTTGAAAACCCAAAATCCCTGTGATGAGATTAGTTCTGTGGTGGCAGTATAGCTAAGGATCCAAGGATAAAGAACTACAGTGTATGATGATGGTATTCGATACTTCCAATTGAGAAAAGAAAGTGAGACTAGAAGTGGACAACACTACCACTGCTTATGTACATCAATGTACAAGAAATCCTTTGTCTTCTTGTATGGTTTGAAGACAGAGATGTTTGCCCTTGTGTGGTATAAAGACAGAGGTGTCTGCCCTTGTGTGGTTTGAAGACAGAGATGTTTGCCCTTGTGTGGTATAAAGACAGAGGTGTTTGCCCTTGTGTGGTATAAAGACAGAGGTGTCTGTCCTTGTGTGGTATAAAGACAAGAGGTGTCTGCCCTTGTGTGGTATAAAGACAAGAGGTGTTTGCCCTCATGTGATATAAAGACGAAGGTGTTTGCCCTCATGCGATATAAAGACAGAGGTGTTTGCCCTTATGTGGTATGAAGACAGAAGTGTTTGCCCTTATGTGGTATGAAGACAGAAGTGTTTGCCCTTATGTGGTATGAAGACAGAGGTGTTTGTCCTTATGTGGTATGAAGACAGAGGTGTTTGTCCTTATGTGGTATGAAGACAGAGGTGTTTGTCCTTATGTGGTATGAAGACAGAAGTGTTTGCCCTTATGTGGTATGAAGACAGAAGTGTTTGCCCTTATGTGGTATGAAGACAGAGGTGTTTGTCCTTATGTGGTATGAAGACAGAGGTGTTTGTCCTTATGTGGTATGAAGACAGAAGTGTTTGCCCTTATGTGGTATGAAGACAGAAGTGTTTGCCCTTATGTGGTATGAAGACAGAGGTGTTTGTCCTTATGTGGTATGAAGACAGAGGTGTTTGTCCTTATGTGGTATGAAGACAGAGGTGTTTGTCCTTATGTGGTATGAAGACAGAGGTGTTTGCCCTCATGCGATATAAAGACAGAGGTGTTTGCCCTTATGTGATATGAAGACAGAGGTGTTTGCAGCTCAATAGTATGCTGTTGGTTGTCTTTTGTTTTTTACCTCGTTCTTATTTAAGAACATGACAACTTACTTGCTTAGACTGACCAAGATTAAATATGCCAAAATTGCTGATATAGCAGAAGATGCTTTCTCTTCCATTATACTCCATCTTATTGTCCTTGTACATTTTCAAAAGGTAAATCTTTTTCTTGTTTTATTTAACCCTTATTTCATCAATTTTTAATTTGAATTACATGTAAAATTTCGATTTTATTGAGATATTCATTTTTTCAAATCCAACATGCTGAAACATGTAAATTAAGGATTATATTTAGGAACACTGGATTTAGAAGGTTTTTCACTATCTATTAGTTGAACTCGAGTACTAGCTACCTTCATAAGTTACTACCTATTACAAAATAGATTTGATAATCCAATATCTAACTTCCTGACATAAAACATCTAGATATCTCAACAAACATTTAATAAAAGACCAAAAGTTACTGTACCTGTATGGCGTAGAACAACAATGTGGCATGTTGTGGCATCCTCTGTTCCTAGAATGTTGAACACTCCTGCAATTCAAGACAAAAATGATAATTAAGGTATACTTTCATGTATTTAGTCATAGAGCAATAAGTTAAAATGTGATGTAATTGGCTGCCCTCAAACAACAAACTTAATTTCTTGAATGAATCAGTTATCAGGGCAGCTTGAGTGAGGAAATTCCCTACTTTCATAATGACCTTCACAGCAGTTATTTACCAAGTATGTTCTTTGATATCACAATTGGTCATATCACATTAAGTGTAACTGTAATTATTAAAGGTTGTCAGTTCAGCAAGAAATTAAATTGTGAAAAACATTTTCTGCATCTTGAAAATAAAATCAATAAACTGATTATAGTCTGTTGAAAAATAAATTTCTTGAGGTAAAACTAATTAAATAAGAAAAATTGAAAACAGTTATTCAAGCACAAAATCATGGCGTATTTAATGAATCTTATGGCAAAAATATGATAGGAAATATGTAAATATTCTGTTTAACGAAGGTTTTTTTGGTTAGCGTATACAACAGAAGACAATTAAGGCTTTTAATGCCAGAAAGACAAAAGAAAAAGTAACCAACCATCCTCGGGAGAAGTGACTGCCATCTCTCGCTGACCAACATATAAAACCCCTTCATCCTGTGAATGCATCTTACAGGACTGACAGCACAGTCGTTTGGACGAGCTCTGGCAATGGCAAAAGTGATTATTTATATAATTGTAGACGTTGTCATGTAAATTATGATGGCAATGATAAGGCCAACGATATGTATGTTCACAAATCAGATGGCAACAGTGAGGGCAAATATATGTATGTTCTAAAATCTGATGGTAATGGTGAGGGCAAATACATGAATGTTTACAAATCTGATGGCAACAGTGAGGGCAAATACATGTATGTTCACAAATCTGATGGTGACTGTGAGGACAAATACATGTATGTTCACAAATCTGATGGCAACAGTAAGGGCAAATACACGTATGTTCACAAATATGATGGCAACAGTGAGGGCAAATATATGTATGTTCTAAAATGTGATGGTAATGGTGAGGGCAAATACATGTATGTTCACAAATCCGATGGCAACAGTGAGGGCAAATACATTTAAGTTCACAAATCTGATGGTAATGATAGTGCAAATACATATATGTTCACAAATCTGATGGTAATGGTGAGGGCAAATACATGTATGTTCACAAATCTGATGGTAATGGTGAGGGAAAATACATGTATATGTATGATCATATATCAATTTGGTGGCAAGGTGAGGACAACTACCAGTGCATGTATAAACATGTTTCTGATGGAAATGGTGAGGGCATCTACTTGTATAGTCACAATTCTGATGGCAACATTAAAGGTAGTTGATGTAAAAAATGTTGAAGTCTAAGTCTACATTTTGTCAGAAATATATCAACAATACAAAGTAAATGGAATGTGATACTTGCTACATGTGCTATGTTAATACAAACTACAGATGACAAACCAGCGCTGTAAATGTGATCTCAATCACCAGATCATGATTTCAATTAGAACCACAAACAACACACAAGTCATATATCTACATTCTTCAAAATAAATCATAGTTTTATCTTTGTTTTTATAATGAAGAAATGTGAGGCCACGTTGTTTTGTACCCGACACTCTAGACTTTATCTGTCCATCTGTGACTTGGGACAATGACCTTTAATCCTGGTAAGGTGTGCTGACATCTGTGCAGCACCTTATACCTACCACAGATCACAGAGATCAAATAACCACCCATTGTTATAGGTGTTGACAAGTTACAGAGGAAAATGTTTATTTTCCAAACACAAGTGATTGTTTATCTTCAGATTTAGAGCACACAGACATGTTGATGTCTTTTTTAAAACCCAGTTGTTATATCTACTTTAAATATGACAGTTGTTCAAATACTTGTATACTCCCACACATATATGAACAATAGTGATTTCTGCAACATATGTACATGCAATGTGTTACAGACACAAGGTTTAAAATATTTATCATATGTGTCTCATAAATGTTCAATGCAAACAAGGCAGAGTGCCATGCTACTCTGTATATCAATGAGATTGCTCCTAAATTTGCCATGAGTTCTGGCCCTTTTGTTTGTGTAAGACCTGTTAATAAAAATCACGAATATAAAACCCTAAGTATTATGTCATTGTAATACATTTGTACTTTACGGGTATACCAAAATATGACCTACATAAATCTATGTGTTATGATAAGTGGATTCTAAAGGCTCAAGTTTCCCTATCCTAAGTACAAATACAATTAGATGAATCATTAGATAGAATACGTGTAAGAATACGTGTGGATATACTTTACGATTTAATCTCTGCCAGTGGTCATCTGATATGGTTTGGTATACACGTACAGAACTAGGCTTAAGTCCCACCTCACACACAGGTCATAATGTACAGTCAGGAATATCATTGACTAATCTACAGTAAATGGCTTTATAAAAAAACAGATAAACAATGAACACTCAGTCAAAATGTATCTTCTTTACTGATTTCCACAACTACTATTTACTGAAAATTATTGGTGTTATATAATACAATACATATGATATATTTTATCATTATGTACAAACATTTGAATCAAGATATTATGTACATGGATCTATTGCTGTAAATTAACACATCATTTTCAGAATTTAGTTTTCAACCTATGAAGATCTTAAATATTAAATCATGGATGGCAGTTATAACTGTATAGATAGATATATAGATAATTTGGTAAGATTACAATTAAGTTATTTTACAACAGCACAGTGTAGAATATTACGAAAGTGCCATAGAACGGACAGGATAAAAATTGAATTGATTTTACAATTCAGTATTGAATTTGTTCAATTGTTTTTCTGAGATACAAATGAATCATTTTAACGAGTCTTTGGTATCAATTTGAAAACAATGAATTAAATAAATTGTTAAACAAAACAAAACTTTCACTGAAATTGGGAATAAAACAGAATGATGGTGGATTACAATTATTTTCAAAAGTGATTAGATCACAGCAAATGATGTAATTACCTTTAGTACGAAACAACTTCATCAGATATCAAGCTTTACAAGGGACTAGAGTATGTATCATTAAACTTCATCAGATATCAAGCTTTACAAGGGACTAGAGTATGTATCATTAAACTTCATCAGATATCAAGCTTTACAAGGGACTAGAGTATGTATCATTAAACTTCATCAGATATCAAGCTTTACAAGGGACTAGAGTATGTATCATTAAACTTCATCAGATATCAAGCTTTACAAGGGACTAGAGTATGTATCATTAAACTTCATCAGATATCAAGCTTTACAAGGGACTAGAGTATGTGTCATTAAACTTCATCAGATATCAAGCTTTACAAGGGACTAGAGTATGTCTCATTAAACTTCATCAGATATCAAGCTTTACAAGGGACTAGAGTATGTATCATTACTAGGTTACATTCTGATTTACTCATATAAGCCATATAACATGTAAAGCATTAGCAATGATTTTCCTTCCAGACAACTTTCATCAAAACTGAATGGAACTTGAGCAAGTTACTTTATAACAAATTTAATTTAGAATAAAAAAAATTGAATGACCAGTGAGTTGAAATTACAAGTTTATTGCCATCCATTATAATAGGTATGGAAACTGTGTAATAGGAGCTATAATCCTTATCATATATTCAACAGTCCACTTGAGTCCAGTATTGACACATTTAATTCTATTTCAATAAACTGCTATATCCCTGGAGATTTCAGCACCCTATCACTATAGTATATATATCTCTCTGTGTTATCACCAATGTCGTTCATAGACAGGTCCACACTTTTATAACAGATAATTACAGAATCAATGTTTGGAACCCAAGTGAAAGCTATCTGGAAGTCTCTATACCTGTAATGATAGTCAGTGTATCTACCTGACCCCAGTACTTACACGGATGGTATATATATATAAACACACATTAGAGGAGAACGTGAGAGTACTAAATACTTGGAGACTTACCGTATTTACCCAACAATAAGCTATGTCTGGTAAGAATTTGTATGCTAGCTGCGTGCATTAAATGACACCGGGTAAGATTTGAATGCTGCCTCCCTGCATTAAATGACACTGGGTAAGAATTTGTATGCTGGCCCTCCAGATAAATTGACACTGGGTAAGAATTTGTATGCTAGCTGTGTGCATTAAATGACACTGGGTAAGATTTGAATGCTACCTCCCTGCATTAAATGACACTGGGTAAGAATTTGTATGCTGGCCCTCCAGATAAATTGACACTGGGTAAGAATTTGTATGCTGCCCCCTGGATTAATTGACTCTGGGTAAGATTTTAATGCAGGCTCCCCTGGATTAATTGACTCTAGGAAAGATGTTAATGCTGGCTCCCTGGATTAATTGACACAGGGTAAGAATTTGTATGCTGGCCACCTTAGATTAATTGACACTGGGTAAGAATTTGTATGCTGGCCCCCTTGGATTAATTGACACTGGGTAAGAATTTGTATGCTGGCTCCCCTGGATTAATTGACACTGGGTAAGAACTTGTATGCTGGCCCCCTTGGATTAATTGACACTGGGTAAGAATTTGTATGCTGGCCACCTTAGATTTATTGACACTGGGTAAGAATTTGTATGCTGGCCCCCTTGGATTGATTGATTTTTTATGGACCCCTGGGCTTATGGCTTGATAAATACAGTATACCACATGCAGTAGTGTACTCTGTATTTTTATAATTGTAACAAATATGTTTAGTATTATTAGCATTTATTATATCAAAGACATTTACCAACTTTTAATACAGCAAATTAAGTGCTATCCACTTTTAATCCAGCTCTAAGTTTTTAATACTGTATACTCCTTGACAGGAACAGGAATTCCTAGACAGGTATACTAAACTCTAAGTACATGTCTATAAGTATATCCATACTAGACTTCTAGACAAGTATACTCCTAAACAGGTGTTTTACTCCTGGTATGTATACTCCTTCTCCTAGACATATATATTCCTGGATCGGCAATTGACTCCTAGACAGGTAGTAGGCTCCTATTCCAAGATAGGTAGTTGACTCCCCTGCATTGTATAATCCTGTACTTGACTCCTAGACAAGTACTGGACTTCTAGGTAGGTAGTAGACTCCTAGGCAGATAGTAGACTTATAGACAGATTCTAGACTCCTAGGCAGGTTTACTTTTTGACAGGTGCTTGACTCCTAGCAGATAGTAGACTCATAGACAGCTTCTAGACTCCTTGACAATTATACTCTTAGACAGGTGCTTGACTCCTAGGTAGGTAGGAGACTCATAGGCAGGTAGTAAACTCAAAGACAGCTTCTAGACTCCTTGACAATTATACTCATAGACAGGTGCTTGACTCCTAGGTAGGTAGTACACACCTAAACTGGTACTAGACTCCTAAACAGGTTTACTCTTTGACAAGTACTTGACTGTCAGGTAGGTCCGTGAAACAGAGACCTAGACAAGTTTACTCCAAAACAGGTACTTGACTCCCATGCATGTACATGTACTAGAGCTGGTAGTAGACACCTAGACAGGTACTAAACTCTAAGACAGGTATAATCTTTGACTGGTGCTTGACTTCCAGGTAGATACATGAACTAGAGTCCTAAACAGCTACACTCCTGTTTGTAAGAACTTGTCTCCAAAACAGGTACGAAACATCTAAACAGGTACTCGACTTGCATTGGAGAAATTCAATATGGTTTCTGAACATAACACTGTACCTAATATTCTGGGTAAATATACCTAAGCAGTAAGGAAATTACTTTCTCACATATATTTCAACAAAAGATTGAATACTAAATAGAAATCATTTGATACCTGCCTGCCATAAAGGAATGTTACAATGAAGATTGTATACTACAGATGTGGTCCCTAAAACACTACTCTCTGGACCCTGACTTTCATTCTGACAGTGCTACAGATGTGGTCCCCAAAGCACTACTCTCTGGACCCTGACTTTCATTCTGACAGTGCTACAGATGTGGTCCCCAAAGCACTACTCTCTGGACCCTGACTTTCATTCTGACAGTGCTACAGATGTGGTCCCCAAAGCACTACTCTCTGGACCCTGACTTTCATTCTGACAGTGCTACAGATGTGGTCCCCAAAGCACTACTCTCTGGACCCTGACTTTCATCAGATGTCATTCTGACACTGCTATAGATGTGGTCCCCAAAGCACTACTCTCTGGACCCTGACTTTCATCAGATGTCATTCTGACACTGCTATAGATGTGGTCCCCAAAGCACTACTCTCTGGACCCTGACTTTCATTCTGACAGTGCTACAGATGTGGTCCCCAAAGCACTACTCTCTGGACCCTGACTTTCATCAGATGTCATTCTGACAGTGCTACAGATGTGGTCCCCAAAGCGCTACTCTCTGGACCCTGACTTTCATTCTGACAGTGCTACAGATGTGGTCCCCAAAGCACTACTCTCTGGACTCTCAGTGCTACAGATGTGGTCCCCAAAGCACTACTCTCTGACTTTCATTCTGACAGTGCTACAGATGTGGTCCCCAAAGCACTACTCTCTGGACCCTGACTTTCATCAGATGTCATTCTGACACTGCTATAGATGTGGTCCCCAAAGCACTACTCTCTGGACCCTGACTTTCATCAGATGTCATTCTGACAGTGCTATATCCAGTATGATGTTAGTCCTGCTGCTTTACCAAGATTTATGAAGACATTCATTAACCTTCCAAAACATTACTTAATGATGTACAAGCTTGCTCATTAAATAAGCTGGTAAACCTATACAGTTGACCTTGGTTGGAATCTACTTTCAGCCATATATGTAAGGTCTGTAAACTTAAAGCTCTTCTGTTCAAGTTCATCTTCACCATTCTCCTCCCATGGTACTGCCAGTTCCACTTCGATGATAATCTTTGACTGCATTTATTTCAGTGCCATGTCTTGGCAGAGTGTTGTGTCTATAATACTTGGGAATACAAGCTTCCCATCCAGGTCCACTTGCAGTTCTCACTTCTTCCTGTGGCTGGTCTCCTCACCTCAGATGTCTCACCATATCTCAAATCTTCCACTGCCTTACTTTCATATTTACACTTTTCTTCCTCTTCAAGGTCTGCCATTTAATTCACTCAGGACCTTGTTGTGACACCATCTTTATCTCCCATGCAGCAATGCTACCTCCTGATAGTATGTGTGACATTGCCTCTCATGTTCCACTCAGCTTATAAATGGCAGAAAGTAGATGGCAGTGTGTTATAAATTCTTGTTCTCAGTGAAAAATGTATTGATTTATTGATACTTCACAATATCGTTCAACCATGACAGTTTCCAATCAATGATTCACAATATCGTTCAACCATGACAGTTTCTACTTGGGTACTTTCTACTTCAACCATGCTCCTTGTTTGGCTAGGAGCAACATCAATTGTAGCAATTCTAGTTTCAGGAAAGAAACCCCAGATTGATTAGAAAACATAACAATAACTTCTAGACCGTGTATAGAAATTCATGCGATATGCTTCACTGATAACTTACCTAATGAAAGTGACACAGTGGTAGTCATTGAAAAGTAAGATATACATTAATGATACTATACTATACAGATAATATGCAGTTCTAAAACTTAAAATACAAAATATAAACATCAGATTTTGGCTTTTGAATCACTTCAAAATCACTGACACAATTTTTAGAATAACAAATGCTAGTAAATGTAATTATGACAAAGTTACAAAGTCTCTTAGCATGTGCTGGATGAAATCTGCTCTTAAGCTAACTGGGCTTTAAAGTTTAAATAATGGAGTCCTTGGAATGATTGCTCAATTGCTGGTTACTTGACAGGTCATCAATTTTTTTTATAGAAATATCTAAAAATAAGAAAAAGTTGATTGCAACCTTCCTGTCTATGGAAGGTCAATTTGAACTCCTCTCAAATAGATTTATTGAAGAATCACACAAGTTTTGAACTTGAGTGAATCACAAAGTGAGAAATTAACATGAACTAAATATATCACTCAGATGTACAAACATTGTGTATACTGTTAGTACAGCCACAATGATAAACATGAAGCTAGGATCAATGTTGTACCTGTATAAAGGCTTACTATAAGGTCCCTTAAAATTGCTTACCTTAAAATCATAACGGTCAAAGAATTCTTGGAGAGATTTTGGAACATGTCCAATAGAAAGTCCATTAATAAACAGAGGCATGTTGTCACATCCCCCAGCACAGGTGTTCAGGCTGAAATACACAATAGATTTCACTATTGATTACCTTATCTGGGGTTAAACAGGGACAAATATATAACATCTTTTCTATACAATGTACAGGTAATACAAAAATCTAAAATCCTTACTGTGGCCTTGCAATATGTGTATGTTTGGTGAACTGACCAGGTTTCAATAGACAAAACACCTCATCTAATCATGAAAGAAACTGATTCTAATTGGTAGTAATTATGTATATAAGTAAGCTTTCTGTATACATTTTAAGCATTGAAACTTGTCAGATCAAATCCTTGAGTATTCCGATATCTGGGCACATCCATCATATACTTGTCATCACTTGTAGATGAAAATTCCAATCCTCTCAATTTACAACGATTCTAAACCTGCATATTTGGATGTTTATTCTGACATCATATTTGGCCTACAATTTATTGGATTTGTCAGTGTGTCAGACTCGACAGGTTTTAGTCTGTAGACATAAACTGACATGTATAGAATCTGATACTGTAATCTAAGGAGACAACATAGTTCTATAAGAACTCTACTGGTACAGTCTAAGTACAGTACCTCAAAAACAACATTACACATCTATGTATTTGAGTGCATGCCAAAATTTTTCACCTTTTAAGCAAACACTGAATCACGGTTACAATAAAAATATTTCAGTACATACCAGGGCAAATTATTCCATAACACAAAATTTAACATTTAAAACTAGAACATGATTTTATCTACAAGCATATTTTATTAAACCCATTAAATCTAAAACAGGCCTTTCTTCTGCAGCCATTTAAACTGCACTTCACTTACATAATTTATAGCACCATAACCAATCAAACCATAAATGTACTGTATAATAAAATAACCTGATATTCACACTATTGTCCAGTCTGAGATGACAAGATTTCTGATATACAGCGATATATCAGTACTATATTCTATATTTCTACAAATCTATTCAGGTATATAATTATAACTATCTTGTCTGTAATCATATCGCTATGAAGAGTAAAACTGAACTAGTCATAGACAGCTGTACTAGGTAATCATACTGAAACCGAGTTGTATTCATAGAAATTTTTTCAATTCTCATTCATTCAAAAATTTTCATCTCATTTTATCATACCAGAAATAAACAAGACATTGATAAGGGTATATTGACATGTAATACTATATGCAGTCTTTAGAAATACCCTTTGACATTAATGGCTGAGGGTATTATTCTACGAGTCATTATAGTACATTATTATTACAGTTCCTCTATTCATTTTGTGAACAATATATCTATACAATACACATCCATTTAAGTTGTCAGAATATAGTACAATGTACTTTGACAGGCACGCTTGTAGTTTGTGGAATATCAACAACATTGATTTGAAAGCTCACACAATTGTAGATGTCTTCAGGTATTTTAAGCTACTTTACTGCTTGGGCTTTTCAAGACATTAAAAAAAGAAATATAATTTATACAGTGAATATTCATCATCATATGATTAAATGTGAAGGAGAAAAATATGAAATATAGTAAGTTCAACCCAAATGAAATATACCAGATTCAATCCAATACACACCCTTACTGGGAACTCAGTGAAATACTGTTTTATGTTGTATGATATTGTTGTGTATGAAAATCTCAAGTTTCTTGGTCTGTTTTACCTGCATGTATTGATCTGCAGGTAGAATCACGATATGCCTGAACAGTTTAATGAAAATCAATTTGTTATCATTTCATCATAATTGAATGTTTACCTGCATGGCTTATCCTGTTCATCAATATTAGATATGACAAGTATTGATTGTGAAGGAAATTTTGTAATTATCCAAATCGTAGGATGTTGTTTCATCATTCTACAATCTTAACCTAGACTGAATCAGAGATCAATTTGGGTTACATGGGTTTATAACAGAATAACTATGGTTGGTTACAATATGCTGAACAAATTAGCTAATTCACATTGCTGACTTTAATGAAATTCTAAACTACATTGTTGCATCATAGTAATGGATAGGTGATACAGGTAAGTTTGTTGTGTTCTGCAAATAGTTACACTTTGACCCTTAATAATTCTGAACACAAGAACAATACTAAAAGGCATATACATAACATAATATTTATACTATGTATATAACATGTATCAATACATGCACAGTGTATATATACATACATTGCATACCTTAATGATACACATAAATCTTTCTCAATTTTTCAAAATATGCTCCATTTTCTCAAGACATAAAACAGCCTCAATGACTGGCATAGTCACACCATCTCTTGTGCAGCATTATGGAAAAGGAGCAGGTTTTAGCTTCTCATTAATCAAATTCTTCAATTAAGTCTACTTTAGGTGCTTTACATAAGTAATAAAAACTGAATTTTATGATTTTTCCACTTTATGTTTATATAATGTCCAATTCTCCAGTTTCTCTTTATTTTCTTATCATTTCTTCATACAAAGGTTGGCTCCCCCAACGGCAGAGCTCAAACATATGTGGAAGGACGAGTAAGACGAAGCTTATCTCACCAAATGACATGAAGCTGTCCTTCAATAATAAGACAGGAAAATGGAAGGTAACTACATGTATATTTTATCATCTCTGGCCTCTTCATTCCGTCAAAGGACAAGGCTTTAACTAGAAAAGTATGGGGCATTTTTGTCACATTTTGAAAAAGAAAATTGGTGAATTGGGAAGTGATGAATGACTAAAATGTGAAATAATTTCAATTGGATATGAGGCCTATTGTCAGACCAAATATGCCCTGAGAAGTAGCACCAAACAAGAGAAATGAAAATACTGATGCAGATTGGGAGGAATGGGCTCTATTAAATGCGAGTTAAGAACCAAGATGAATGTCACAGGATCGCAATAGGGAGATCAATTTCTTTTTAAGAAAGTAAGCTACTTATATTTGCAATTCTGAATATGTGTTAATTGCACTGCACACCTTCCTCATCCTGTTCGATGTTTTTACCGCATCCTAAAGCTTTCTTTACAGCATGCACTAATTTCACAATTTTACTAAAAAAACAGTACTGCAATCTTATTAAGGCATTTAAAAAAATGTTATGTAAAGATTGATATATACTTACATTACAGTAGAATGACAGTAGTAATGCTGTTGGAGTTTAGCTTGACACGCCCTGTAACATAACAACAAGTACTTTATACACCAAAAATCCCAAACATATGCTAGTCAAATACCATGCATAGTAGTTAATTCAACAAATTCCACGACAAAGTCACATAACATTTAAATTGCACCTTTAAGTAAGAAAATTCCAGATTCTAACTAAGCAGTAAGAAAATGTCAATACTTCAATGTAAATGACAATTGACATACCTTTGACAGGTACAAATAAGGTTCCAGTTACAGAGCACTCTAAGATATACATGTAAGTACTGTACAGGTGTATATATCTACTACACATACCCGTGGCTGGCTACCGTACACATTTAAATGTCTTATCTTTGCCACCATTTACAACCACATACCTGTTCCAATCAGTTGATTGATTGATTTAAAACTAGGCCCAGTGGTGGCAGGCTTTGAAGCGACAAGCTATATGCTGATCAGGATTAAAGCTATTTATCAGCTAACATAACAAAACTACTATCAATTTCACAAGAGAAATTAGCATATTGGTAATGATATGTAAAAAGCATATTACTATATTTATACATCCACAGATATTCCAAATGAATAATAACAATAAAAATTAATTAAAAACAACTATTGTAAGTAACATTTTCTTCTTATTATTATTTCTTTAATTAATTCATCTTTGATCTCTATTTTGTTCTGGTAACACTGTCTATTTTTGATACCTACTGAAATATTTAATTGGGTAATTTCATAGGAAGCTATTTGCATGAAAATTAATAATATGATGTGACACACCCACCTGTTACAGAGACCTTCAGTGTGTAGAATCTTGCTATTACAGAACAGAAAACAATATTTGTGCTTTCCTTCCACACTCAACTGATCTATAAAAACCAACACGAATTAAATTGGCAGCCTTCCTAAGTTTGTATTTAACCCAATCCTTATCATTGTAAATGAAGTACTGTATATATTTAAGGTCTTTATAATTCTATACCTTTTAGTGAAATGATTTTACTAAATTTCAGCCTCTAGATATCCAGACTTCAAACTTAGCTTATTTAGACACCGACAATTACTGAAGTCAACATGTTTTGATAATGAACTGTCCTTACTAAAATACATATGCATATTATATTCTAACCTATATACATGCTGGTTGATATATCACCAATATTGTCCATTGATATCGCCAGCCACTTCTGTTACATACAATTTCTGTACAAACATGCATAGAAAACTATTATTACAACTGCAGAAGTACTGAAGTGTCATTTTCAGTGCCATGATTGCATTCCTTTGTATTTTAGTTGAAAGAAAAAAATCTGATAGCAGTTTCCTGTTTGAACACTTGGCCTTTAGGACCTATAATGCTCACCTGGTTTAGTTTGCTGAAATTGATTTATTTTGACTAAGTGAAAAGAAAGTATTTAAAACACTTATATCTAATTCCAAAAGGGGCTTAGGTATACTCTTCGTAAAATAAAAACTGAGTTCTCTTTACCAAGGATGTCTTCAGTTTCAACATCAGAAGGATTTGAAAGACTTTGCTCTCTTTTCACTATCTAGCCCTGCTCTTCCCACCCCAGTGGCCCTGAACCCATTGTTCAAACAAAATTGATCCTTCACCCAAGTATGTCTCAAACCAAATTGGGACAGAATCTAGGCATTCCTACATAAGAAGAATGATTTTAAAGAATTTATCCTTTTCCCCCTACTGGGTCCTATCCCTCCCACCCTATAAGATTTATTCTTCTTCACCCAATCATGCTTCCAGGCCAAATTGGGACAACATCCACTTATTCCTACAGAAGAAGAAGGACTTCAAAGAATTTGGCCTATTTCCCCTAATGGGCCCTGCTCCTCCCACCCTAAAGGCCCAAACCTAAAGTTTATGCAAAACTGATTCCTCTTCATCAAAGAATGCTACAGACCAAATATGGGCAAAATCCTTTCATTCCTACAGGAGGAGCAAGATTTTAAGGAATTTGCTCTATTTCCCATATTGGGCCTGACCCTCTGGCCCAAGGAGGTTCAAACATATTGTTTATACAAAACTGATTTCCATTTACCCAATCATGCTTCAGACCGACTTCAAAGATTATTCTGCAATTCTTTAAGAAAAAGATTATATTTTAAAGAAATTGATAGTTTCCACATTGTGACCTGCCCAGCTGGCTCCAGGGGTCCCAGACCTTCACCTAAGCATGCTTCAGACCTAATCTGGCACCTAAAGGCCGAAACCCAGTGTTTATACAAAACTGTTTTCACTTCATGCAAGCATGCTTCAAACGAATTTTGGACAATATCCAACAAATCCTGAAGAATAAAAATGATTTTAAAGACATTGATAGATTTTCCCTCTTGAGCCCTGTCCCTCTGGCCCCTGGGGGCCGATTTCCCTTCACCCAAGAATGCTTCGGACCAAATTTGGACAATATCTCGTGAAGAACAAGGTAGATTTTAAAGAAAGTGATAAATTTTCCCTATTAGGCCTTGCACCCCCAGGCCCCAAATCTCAGACCCATCATTTATACAAAATTGGTTCCTCTTCCCCAAAGGATGCTTAAGACCCAATTTAATAAAAAAAAAATACCTATTAATCATTCATGACTAGTTGCAATTTATAGGAAAAATTGATAGATGATAGATGGACAAACAGACGACGGACAGATGACGGATGCTGGACAACGAACACTGTGGTATCCCTATAGCTCATTTTGCCTTTTGGGCCAGGTTAGCTAGGTCAGAGTTGGTGAAATATAAATTGATACCAATTCACTATCACACATATTGGGGAACATGAAATGGTAGAGTATGATAAAACATTCTTCATTCTTTTTAGTTAATTTCTAAGCTCCTGTTAGATGACTGCAAAAATATATTTGATCTATGCATTACACTCATATGTATCGACATAAAAGAAAACATATTCCATGCTGACAGCATTACATGCATTGATTCATATAAGTTTTACAACTTAACTTACATTGCCAGGTCAAGAATTTATAGAATGGCTCAAAGTTATGCTTATAGTTTTGTTGAGTATATTATTAGAAAACAAAAAATTCATGTTGGAGGATCTTTATATTTAGTTCTCATGAAACTAAGACAGCAGTAACATAAAATAATGAAGTTATAATATTGAAGAGAGTTTGAAAAGCTTTGACTTTTCCTGGACGAATCACTGCAGTGTAGTCATATTTCAATGATTGGGGTGAAAACTTCGATATTTTTCACAGGTGAGCAGAAATGACTTCCTGATATCATATATAGTTTCACAGTTAAAATATAAATCTTCAAATAATTGTTCAGAACGCAGGAAAATACAACATGTGTAAAACATAATCTGATCTAGATTGGCCAGCATCAATGCATTGCATTAATTAACCAGTTTCCTCCCATCTTGCTGATTGTATTTGTACAATCTCTAAAAGAGCTGACATTCCTTATTACTCATGGTAAAAAGGTCTTTTTTCACAGTAAATACTGTTATCTGATTTGTTCAAAATCAGTGGAAATACAAAATCTTATCTTTTCAAAATAAAACTTTATATTTTACTACCAAAAACAAAATCATTAAGGTAGAAGAACTAGGCATACAATAAATGTGAAAAGAAACCAAATGTAAGAGTGACTTCCAGAAGCACAACAGCCACAACACTATGAGCCAAGCCAAAAATTGACAACAATATATATAAAACAGATTACACATGTACATATTAGATGAATGGAAGTATTTTTAAAACATTTGTTTCTAACAAATTAAGTTTATGGCACAATCTATCTAAGGTGAGCATAAACTCATTTATAGAACATTTACCTGTAACCCTTGAAAAGACAGCTGTGAAAATTTACTGATGACAATGCAAATAATGCAAAGATAGATAACTCTTACAGAAAAATCAGGAAGCTGAGGGATCTCTCTCATATTATAAACTCATGTACAAGTTTCCTGGTTTTTCAATAATATTTTTGTGGTTTTAAATCAGTGACAGATTTAGATTTGTAAAAGTAATCTTATAAGTAGAAATTGGACTGCCTATGGAGTTGTCAAATGATCTAATATATATCTATAAGTTAAGCTGTACTGTACAGTCCTGAATAAAATAAAAAAAGAAGTGGTATCCATCTGAAAAATATGCAATAATCAATTTACTAAAAACTTCGAACTCTTGTTTAGCAAGCTAAGCTACCTGAGTTCTAAGCTAGATCATGGATAAAGGTGGACACTAATTCTGTCATTCAATGCCAATTATACTTTCGAATTATAATATGCTTAAAATGAAAACATAACAGCACCTACATGGACAGTACTGTACAGCATTGTACATTATTTTAAAGTTAAACATAATGAAGTTGTACTGCACATTAAAATTAAGAAAAATAATTAAACACATAAAGCACATTCAGTTTTTTTTATGAAAGGAAAAATAGCGGATAGATATCCAGAACCCTTCTGATTAATATATATTTATATCTATGTCCAAGTCAGCCATAGCTCGATTCGAGAGGGTCCTACATGTCTGCCAAATGAAACTTTTGTTACTCCTGCAGGGTGTGTGTAACACAAAACTGGCCATTCTGCACAAGGGTTGGTTTGTAGTTTTAATATCTTAAAATCACATCAGGAAACGAGATGATCATTCTAATTAACAAGAGGCCCATGGGCCTTAACAGTCATCTGATTATAAAGACCTATGTATGAAAGAGGAATAAATAGGTCTAAAATAAATTGCTTAACTCTTCTACAGTTTACATAGAAGACATTGTTGGTTCATCAAGACATTTTCTACAAATTTGAAAACATATTCTTTTTACATGCACTACACGATCGCCATTACTGCAGATGTATTGCTTGCTGAAAAAGCAAGCTACAGGCCCAATATCAAGACCTTTGGCCTTTCCTTCATTAAGAAGTTGCTTAAGCATGGCAACACTTTTAACCCCTGTGACTTTGAAAGTTAGTCCAATATCAGCACCCTGGGCCTTTTGGTTATTGAGAAGCAGTCATTCAAATATTTTAACATATTTGATACCTGTGATCTTGAAAGTGGGTCAATGTCATTCATGTTAACAAAGTTGGTAGCCCTACATCCTAGCATGCTACAGGCCAAATAACATCATCCTGAGCCTTTCAGTAATTGAGAGGAAGTGCTTAAGCATTTCAACACATTTGACACCTGTGACCTTTGAAAGTTGGCCCAATATCAGCAACCTCATCCTTTAAGTTATTGAGAAGAGGTCATTTAAACATGTTTCATACCTCATGAAATAATTGCCTACCCTTCCTGCTGAACCAGGCCAGGCCTAAGCTTGTTGAAATCCACTCAGGCAGAAAGGAGAACTAGGGTTCATCACCTCCACCTTTGTGGCCCTGTCCCTCGACTCCTAGGGGTCAAATCAAAATTCTGAATTTAAGAAATGATTACCCTCATCTAATGATGCATCAGACCAAATTTGGTTGAAATCTATCCAGTTATGTAAGAGGAGAAGAGTTTAAAAAAAAGTTTACACACAATGCACAATGCAGAATTGCTCCAGGATATCAGAATCTTCTACATACAATTCCATTTTGGTATACAATATGCTAAAGACGAAGAAACAATTACAACTCTGCCACAACAACCCCTGTAAACCAATTTAACTAAAAAAGTACATGGAATTTGTTACCCAGTAAAGTTCCAGCATTGAAAGCATTTATAGATGAAGTAAAACAGATATCCCAACAATGCACCATACTTAAAAAAATAACCTTGGTGTGACAGGTAGTTCAATTACTATTAACTTAGGAAAGTGTCTTATCATTTTCTGTGTCAGTACGCGTTAGTCAACTATGTTGGGAAGTTCCTGTTACACGTGTCGTGTCAGGGTGGTGGTGTCATCGTCCATATTTGGTGTTGTTTTCGTCCTGTATGTAAATTAGGGTGTAAGGAGTCGTGAAAAAGCATGCAATGGTGAGTGGAGTATGGCAGTGAAATAATAAAAACCCTTTTACACAGCGTGTAAGACGCACTATAGCCAGGACCGTCGTATATACGGACGTATCCTCTGGGGTCCATTTACATATGCCCGCATGATAGTACAAAATGTGTACAGAATGAAGCACTTTACCAGACCGACGGGGTTTTGGAAGGTAAATATTATAATCTACGTTTCAATTACTTTCATTCGCGGAATTGGACTTGACATGTATACAGTAAATTAAAACGTACATGTTACATAACATATCACCATGTCATAGTACTATCCAGCTATTTGTGTATTTTTTTCAGGGGTTTCATGCTATAGCTGTTCACGGGAAGGCCCAATAAAAGAATGGCAGGCAATTTCGTTGTTGTTATACTTGACCTGTGACATTGGGATGGGAGAACAGAAGGCCTTGCAGGGCTTAAAACAAAACACCAGTATTGTGATCAAACCAGCGGACAAAGGCTCCGCAGTGGTCTTCATGAACACAGATGGTTACATTGATTAGGCCAATTACAAGTTATCAAATGAGACATTCTATTGCAAAGTTGGTCATGCTTCGATGTTAGAATATGCTCAAAATGTTGATGCTACCATCAACAGGATAATTGAAAATGGGGGTATAGATACAGATATAGCAGAATTTTATAAATTTTTTATGATAAATTTTCTTTTTCTCAATCAAACAATTCTTATTTAGAGTATGGCTGATATGTACCAGTATATTACTTTCCTCGGAGTGTGACATGCAATTGTTTTCGATGCTATCGCACATATACCCTCAGTGTCTACAGTGCAAAACGTACCAAAATTTATATAAAACATTTTTGATACTTTATTTCATTTCAGTAATAATAACCATAATTTTAGTATGCATATCTCCCACTAATTCCCATTCATTTGTATATAATATAAACAAAAAAAAAAATCAAGTTTTTACATCATCGCTCTCGATTTAACTTTATTTGTTTTTATAATGTAATTTATGTAATATTTGTGTTTTATTCGTAAAGGGGCTTGCATCGTTTGATAATTCGTTATTATTACTTCATTGATCATATATATGGTCTTTATGATATACCAGACGATGTCTTGCTGCACGAGCACCTGTATATTGAACGTAAACAACATAAGCTAAAATCCAGTCCCCTGCATGATACAGGTGCCTGTGTTTGCTGTTACTGCACGTTACATCAGGAGCTTGATGTACTCAGTCAGCTAATTTTCATTTTCAAAACAATGGCATTTTTCAATAACTAAACTGATTTATGATCATATATACTACATCATAAGTTAAATTAGCAAAACGATTACTGTAAAGGCCGAGACTTTCAACTGGGGCAGGGCACATTCAATTCAGTCCGCCATCCGCTTTACAGTTTAGTAGTAACTAATAATTTCCGGTATAAATGCACTAAAACACTGATAAAATTGCGGACACAAACCTCTTTCCTAGCTCAGCAATGATTATCTGAATAACCGGTAATTCGAAGTAGTTGAAAACAGGACATAACAAAAACCTGCATAATTGTGACCAGTATCGCACATATAGTTCGCTGAAACTTTCTGCAAAACACGCTGTGATTTTCCGAATTTGTTTTAAAAAGTTTCCCAAATAACTGTTTCAAAGTCCGAGGGCTCAAAATCATATATCACTACTTGAGCCTCCTCACTAAATGTGTCCTGCCACACCAACAGACATAAATATGACGTCAAAGAAAAATTCATACACTACAATAGATATTGTACAACAACCCCGAGTAAAAAAAATATGAACATATATGTTATAATTGAGCCTAGAAAATATTGACTAACTGACTCGAATTTTCAATTTGCCGTGTATAACGGCCCTGAAGTGAAACAGTGGTTTGAGGCCTGCATGAAAATGATTTTAAGGAACGACAACTCTTGTACAAATGTATGATTTATTTATCGATTTAAAGGCAGGCATCGACAGTTTAACACACAGAAAAGGGAGAGTACGGAACCTACTACTTACTGCTTCATTAAGGTAAGCATTCACATTATTTGGAGGTGCGTTCTGTATAAGAAATCCACCTTTGCATAGTGTAGCAAAACGTTCAAAATTGAAATTTGTGATTATTTTACGTTATTGTTATGTTTTGTCAAGAAGATGCTATTCAAATAGTGACATACGCTTGCCACTGGGCTCTGGTTAAAAGGGACGCAACTGATACAGAATTAACTGACGCATTAAAAAACAGAAAATAATGGACCATTGCAAAGAACGTCTATCTCGACACATTTTTCTGAATAGTCACAGATATGGTATCGATCTTCTCAGAAATAATCACATGTACGTATGAAGTGAAGGGATATTTCATTGTGTATGTATTGCTCTGTTTCTGAATTTATATATAAAGTAAGATTTTGGATATGCTGGCATTTCATATCAATGGCGAAGTAGGCGGGGAGAAGGCAGTTCTGTAATTTCTCTCCCACCTTTTTTTTTGTTATCTTATTCGAAAAAAAAGAAAGTTAACTAACAGTTTTATTTCATGTTTAATGAAAAATATATGTATATCAGCGATTTTTAGAAATTAATATTTCCGTTCAGAAACGAAATTTACCCGACATATCATATGATCATAATCCAAACTCAACTTGAATAAAACCAGGGCAAAATATACTATATATATATATATGTATATATATACGTAGAGTTCAAGGAGAATAAGGTCATAAGAATAAGTGTCTACTTCATCACTGACGACACATGAAAACTTACCCATAATTGTCATCAACCATTATCTTTTGAAACATTGTGTTACGAGTTTGTCAGTCAGTTGACGATTTCTTGCACGAAAATCTTGGTAATTGGAACAGGGCCCTGAATATCGAATCAACTGCGACATGTAAATATCTTAGGTCTTGGATGCAGGGTATTGCTATACAGAAATGGAAAATTTACAATAGCGAAATTGAAACCATCACGCTTATCATACAAGCGGCTGATGTAGAAGAATCTTTAGTGACTTTGATTTCCAATTATGGTGTGTAAATACCATGAAAGTTTATGTTATTTAAAGACATCAATATATATGCGGCTGCAGCAGAAGCCACCAGTACCATCCAATACTTTGATAGTATAAAGAAAAGAAAGTGTCCTCAATATAATATAGGGCTAATCATGTAATGTCAAGAGATCATAAAGCAGTAGCATGTATGGTAACGTTTTCAATTAACAGGTATATCAAAAAGATTATGCTGACCCCTGGGTCCTCTATCTTCAAAGTCAAATAATTCCAACACAACAGGCTTGATAAGTATAGATACAGGAATTTTCTGATTATTGTACATTCCCTGTTATTTCGTTGTCATTTGTTTTTGTTTTCATTTATACGGAATTCAGATGATCATGACTGTGTACCAGATTGTATGGCTTGCATCATTGCTGGCTGTGGCTGCCTCACAGTCCTTCCCGGTAGTCAACACTCCTTCCGGTCCAATCAAAGGCATTGTTGTTCCTACTCTCGGACATGATATAGTTCAGTTCCGGAATATTCCTTATGCTAAACCTCCCTTGGGCAACCTTCGATTTGAGAAGACTGTTCCCATTGAACCATGGAAGGAAACTTTAGACGGCACTGTTTTCGGACCTTCATGTATACAAGATATTCACTCTTTACCAGAGTTTTGGGTAAAAGCAGAAAATAACATTACTTCAGAAGACTGCCTTCAACTTAACATATATGTGCCAGGGGCGGTTTCAACATCAGAGAAAAAGTCCGTCATGTTTTGGGTTCACGGCGGAGGTTTTCAGATAGGAAATAGCTGGTTCCTGGATCCGTCGTTTTTAGTACTCAAAGATGTCATTGTGGTCAGTATTAACTACCGTCTCGGAGTTTTCGGATTTCTAAGTACAGGAGATGCCGCCCTGCCGGGTAACTATGGACTATGGGACATGATAGAAGCACTGAAATGGGTAAATAAAAACATAGCATCATTCGGAGGCGACCCTGAATCGGTTACCATTTTCGGAGAATCGGCAGGAGGCTTCGCTGTTTCCTATTTATCAGTTATTCCAAGCAATGAAGGACTATTTAAACGCGTAATTCCTCAGAGTGGAGCTTCAATTGGTGATTTTTGGGAGGTTAAGGATCCATTCATACTTACCAAGAGAGTTGGTAGCTATGTTGGCTGTATCACTGAAAACGACTCGACTGTTGACCGGAAAGCTCTTGTAAGTTGTCTGAAGGAAAAATCTGCTGAAGATTTATTTAAAGCTCAAAACGACCCTAATACAACGGACTTTGGAGATATACCCATTAGTCCACAACTATGGCCGGTTATTGACGGAGAATTGCTCGTTAGAAATCCAGACAAAAGCTTGGAGGATTTGACATC